CCCAGGTAGAACTGTTAAGGTCAGTTTCTAGCGAGTGAACGCTTGTGTTTTCTCCAGCGTGCCTGATGTGTTTCTTTCACTGAGGCGTTCATTCACTCACCTGTTCCGTACACACCTCTGCTCAGTCACCCAACACCTGACCTTCTGCACGAACCCTCCCTCACCCCCTTTCTGCGCCACATACTGTGTGTTCATCCTAGTCATAGGCAGCGCCAAGAAACGTCCTGAGCCGCCCGCCCTCTCGGGGCTTCATCTTGGAGTCCGGGGACACAGGTGGCACCAGCCGTTCTCGCGGTACTCGCTCGCCCTCCCCAGCCCGCTGCAGCCCAGCTGGGGCCACGTGGCAGCTTCTGCGTGGCCAGTGTGGCCTGTGGCGGGGCCGCTGAGCCCTGCCAGTGACCTTGGAGGCTGTGGGTGCAGGTGCCCTGCTCAGGCCAGGGGGCTGCCTTGGGTGGGGAGTGCAGACGGGGCCTCGGCTGTGTCAAGCGGAGAGGAGAAGTAGTCCAAGACATGGAGGATAAAATGGGTGACCCAGACGTGGCCTCCTAGCCGTTTTCCAACGTGCGGTTCGGGGCCGAGAAGTGCATGTCGTAAGTGCAGTTTCCACCCTGTCTCGCATTATTTACTTTCCCTGTTTTTCACTTGTATTTGGTTCAGCCGGTTTTAGTGGCAGGTTTCAGTGGGAGGCAGCGATGCCCGTAATGTATTGTCTGTCGCCACATTCTCTCTAAAATGCCAAGGTAGTAGTAGTTGTGACACAGCTCTGCCAAGTCTGAAATTTCTCCTATTTGGCCCTTTTCAGAAAAAATTTGCTGACCCCTGCTTTATAGAATGAGCAGTTAAAAATAAAGGGGACAGGGGCTGGAGCGATAGCACAGTAGGTAGGACGTTTGCCTTGCATGTGGCCGACTTGGGTTTGATCCCCAGCATCCCATAGGGTCCCCTGAGCACCACCAGGAGTAATTCCTGAGTGTATAAGCCAGGAGTAACCCCTGTGCATCGCCGGGTGTGACCCAAAAAGAAAAAAAAAAAGGGACAGAGTGAAAGAACAGTGGATAGGGCCTTCCATGCCTTCCATGCACAATCCCTGGTCCCCCCATGAGATCCCCTGAACACCGTCAGGCGTGATCCCTGAGCACAGAGCCAGGAGTAAGCCCTGAGCACAGTTGGGTGTGACCCAAAAGCTAACCCCCCACATTGTTTTTTCATTAATTTACACACATACTTGAAAAATGAATGGTACGACTTTGCAGGTATGTGCAGTTACAGTGGAAGCAATATCCTTCCACCTTTCCTCCTGCCAGCAGTTTCGGACACTCATTGACTAAGGTTTGGTGAGCCCTGGGGCTTGTGGGTGCCGGTGTACACCAGTCTGCAGGCAAGAAACTACTGCTCCAGGCCCCTGTCCTGTTCATGCGAGACGGAAAAGAGAACGTTCTTGGCTGGAGCGGCTGAAATAATCCTTTATATAGTTTTTAGCACTTTTCAACATGATGTACAGTTAAGGGCTGGAGCGATAGCACAGCGGTAGGGCGTTTGCCTTGCGTGCAGCCAGCCCAGCCCAGCCGGGTTCGATTCCTCTGCCCCTCTGGGAGAGCCCGGCAAGCTACCGAGAGTATCTCGCCCACATGGCAGAGCCTGGCATGCTACCCGTGACGTATTCGATACGCCAAACACAGTAACAATTGTCACCATCGAGACGTTACTGGACCTGCCTGAGCAAATCGATGAACAACGGGAGGACAGTGACAGTACAATTAACTGAACTTCGCAGTTACTTCTTTTTACATGGTACTTCCTGTGTGCCAGGTACAGTGAATTTGAGGTGATTTCCTGCAGTTCCCCACTTCATCTTTCCAGCACCCTGGGGAACCGGAGGAACAGCGTTCATCATTTCCTCTTTCTTCTTTTTTCCTGTTTCTGGGGCCATGTCTGGCGGCGCTCAGGGTTTTCTCCGGGCTCTGCACTCAGGAGTCATTCCTGGCGGTGCTTAGGGGACCAAATGGGATGACAGGGACTGAATGCCGGCCAGCCCTGTGCGAGGCAAGCGCCCTCCCTGCTGTCCTGTCTCCCTGCTGTCCTGTCACCCCGGCCCTACACTTTCTAAAAGGTGGGCCCTAGGGACCCCACACGGGGCCAGGTGCCAGATTGGTAGCCAGGCAGGGCCCACAGCTTTGGTGCACCTCACATCGTGGGGCGATGCAGTGCTCCTGCCTCAGTATCCCCGTATCTGGACTTTCCCCTAGGTGGGTGCGCTGGTTCCCCTGGGGCACTGGGTTGACCAGAGGGCAGTAGTGGCCTTGGGTGCAAGCGTGAGGCCTGATACAAATTTTTTTCAAGTTTGGGAACCTTCTCTGTGGGACAGTCAGTGCTGAGGCCGCACTTTGGGTCTGTTCTCGGATGGCTGTGGGGCATCCCTGCCCCCCACCCGGCGGGTGGTGGCTTTCCAGTGTGTTGGACACCCCACATTGCTGGGCGCTTCGCCCCTACTCTCAGCTTCTCATTCAGCAGGGCCAGACACTCGTTTCTTTCCCTGTTTGCTTTTTTCGATTTGGGGGCCAGGGCTTACGTTTGCGTCTGCACGTAGGACTCACGCCTGGCCGGGCTCTGGAAACCATATGTGGTGCAGGTCAGCACCCTACCCGCTCTGCTGACATTTTTTGAGTAAGTGCCCAGGGTGTGACTGCGGAGGACCCAACTGGGAACTGGGCTTATGCTGAAATTCTTTCTGAATATCGGGGTCTCCGACTCTACCTGCCCTTGCTCTTTTCCCGAGGGGGCTGGTGGGCATTCGGGTACTATATTGTTTGCTTCAGGGCCAGGTGGAACTCGAAAGTCCTCAGCCTGGGCGGGGGGGTGGGGGGTTGTGGATCTCCCAGCGTTGTTGCTGTAGGAAGCACTTCTTGGGGGCGGGAACGGGGCCATACCCGGCCATGCTCAGGGCTCAGTGATGACTCAGGGGTCACTCCTGGTGCACTCGGGGGACCATATGGGATTCTGGGGATTGAACCTGGGTGTGCTGCGCGCAAGGCAAGCGCCCTCCCCGTTGTCCGGTGGCCTCCAGCTCTGGCTTTTGCTTCCTGTCTGAACACACAGGGCCCAGATGTACGGCTCACGTGGCTGGCAGTGTCCTGGTCTGTTCTCTCCTGGATCTCCTGGAGAGTGTTTTTGTAGTTTTGATCCCCCCCGTAATAAACATAGCATACCATTACAGCAGTTCTGGAGATCAAGATCACCTTGAAGTGCCACTCTCGTCGCAGCCATTTTAATAGAGAGGCAGAAGCAGACCTGAAGGAGTTTTAGTGGCTTGTTAGGCTAAGTTAGTGTTGGGACAGTTGCTAGCTGTGAGACAATGCGCATGAAGTCATCATCTGAGGCTTAGTGGACTCTCGTACGTTTATGAAGATTTTTTTTCTCTCTCATTAAACTTTGTTTTAGTGAGTCTCAAAATTCTGTACCAGAGTTTTGATCAAGTTGTTCCCATTGAAAAGTATTGATTTTAACAACTAATAACGGGGCCAGAGGGCTAGCACCAGTGGGGAGGGCGTGTACCTTGCGTCAGCCGACCTGGGTTCATCCCTGGCATCCCATATGGCCCCTCAAGTGACCACTAAGAGTGGTTACCTGAGTGCAGACCCAGAGCAACTCCTGAGCATCGCTGGGTGTGGACCAGCCTCTCCCCTGCCTTCCCCCACCCCAAACAAAACAAAATCCAACAACAAAAAAAGAAAGTGTGTGCACGCACGCGCGCGCGCGCACACACACACACAGTGACAAAAGATTTGCCTTTCCTTGCGAAGGTTTTATGATGGGTACATTGCTATTACCGCTCTCTTACTATTAGATTTGCTTGCATGGCCAGTCGAGACAGTTTGGAGGCTTCCGCTGCCGATGGAGACTGGGGTGAGGGCAGGGGACACTCATCTGCCCTTCCGGACAGACCGGCTCCTTGCCCACTGCTTTGATGACGCCCTCGGCAGAGTCTGCCTCACCTCATGAGCAGAGAACAGCCCAGAGGCGGCTAGTTGGTGAAGCTCCGTGGAGATTTTTTTTTCCAGGGCTCCCAAGCACTGCTCAGGAGACCCAAGAGCCACTCTCACCTTGCTTGGCCGAGCAGGCCTGATGATTCAGTCAAGGGTCGGGCCGTGTGACCATCCTCCCTACCCCCTCCTGGTGCTCAGGGCTGGTGCTCTTTGCAGCCATGCAGTGCTGGGGCTTGAACCTGCGGCCTCATGCCTGCAGGCCATGCGCTTTAGATGTTTTGAGCTATCTTCCTGGTCCCTACTGAGATATTTCTTCCTTTTTTTTTTTAGAGTTTATTACAATCTTTTTCTCCCTCACTTTCCTCTGTTGTTTCGACTCTTTCTGGACTCGGCTCACTCCTGGTGGCAGGGCTCTGGGTGTGTGGTGCTTGCCGGGGGCTGCTCGCTTTAGTGGGCCGGCTTCCGAATGTGGAGCTTGCCAGAGGCTCCACCCTTGATTGTGATGCCTGCACACTTCGTTGTGATACTCACACATTGCTGTGGTACCAGCAGCCCTGAATAGCAGAACTGTGGGGTCGTGCTGGGGATGGGCCTCACTTTGCAGGGTGAGGGTTGCTTTCAGATGGTCGCTTCTGGGCCACACGCGGCAGTGCTCAGGGGTTCTTCCTAGTGGTTCTTGGTCTGGGGAACCACTATGGGTATGGGTGCCAAAGGATGGAACCCGTAAGGATGAAAGGCAAGTGCTCTGCTCGCTGTATTATTGCGCCGAACCCTCCTTTTTGGGGGGGCAGGAGGCAATACCTGGTCGTGCTCTGGGCTCACCCCTGGCTCTGCACTCAGGAATCTCTCCTGGTTGGCTGGTTGGGGCGTAGAGAGACCTTTGCAGGGCTGGGACGGAGGCCGGGCTGGCTGTATGCCCGTCCGCTGTGCTGTCTCTGGCCCCCAGCAGAAGCTTGCCTGCCGAGCTCTCCACCGGCCCTGTTGAAAGCTTCCTCTGTTCTTCCCTCGTAGCGGTCATCCAGAATCAGCATGTCTGGGGCCGAAGCAGCAGCCCTTGGCGGCCAGGACAGCCATCCTCCCACTGCCGGCAGCTCTGTGTTATGCTTTGGACAGGTAACGGGTCCTCAGCTCCTGCACCTGGGGAGGAAGAGGTCGGTGGGCAAGTGGGAGGAGGCAGCCTGAGGGCATCACGATACGGGAGCGACTCCTGACTGCGCCTGGGTTTTCCTTTTTTAATTTCTAATATCAGTGGATATACCTTACATAAACAAAACGCTCTTGGGGTCTTTCTGTTTGTTTTGATTTGGGGTCCACACCTCGCAGTGCTTTGGGCTATTCCTGGCTCCAGGCTAGTGGCGGTGGCGGGGGCCCGTATGTAGTGCTGGGCATTGAACCTGGTGGACGGGACCGAGGCGGGCGCCTGTCTGCCGTGCATTGCTCCAGTCCGAATGTCCGAAGGACTCTGAAAAGTGAAAAGGGCTGGAAATCAAAAGGTTGGAGACTTGCTTGCGTAAGGAGGGTCAGACGCCTGCTCACAGTCCCTCCTGGCCCACAGTACCAGTACACGGCGGAAGAGTACCAGGCCATCCAGCGCGCGCTGCGGCAGAGGCTGGGCCCCGAGTACATCAGCAGCCGCATGGCTGGCGGCGGCCAGAAGGTAGGAGAGCTCACGGCTGTCCCTTGATCCAGCTCACCTCTTTGGGTCCCCTGGAGTCAGGTCTCTGAGTTCAGGTCGTCCTCGTCACTGGGTCCTTCTCTCTTTGGGGAGCACAGGGTTCTCTTGTCCTCTCAAGTGACTCACACATTCCACCTGCCATGGAACATTTTGTACGTCGGCCTTTAAAATAGTCTTCTTTTGCCATTTGCTTCAGATTAGCACTTGGTGAGGTTCTGGTCTTCTGTGAACTGTGTGACCCTAAGATTTGTACCTTTTTAGAAACTGAGGTGTGGAAACTGCTAGGTGAGTCACCCTCAGCTGAGGCTAGTCCCTCCCTCCAGACACATTAATTCTAACTGGCTCCTTCTGGAAGAGCCTTAAGATAAGTTCACTGAGAACCTCCCTGGAAGATCTGAGGTTAGTTTTGCCAAAACAAATTTCAAAAAAATCCCAACCTGGTAAGGAATACATCAGGACTGAATTGACATGTCACTCTGGCAAAGAATTTTAACAATTTTTTCCCCCTTTTCTTTTCTAGGTCTGTTACATTGAGGGTCACAGGGTAATTAACCTGGCTAATGAAATGTTTGGTTATAACGGCTGGGCCCACTCAGTCACCCAGCAGAATGTGGGTAAGTCTGCCGTGCGGCACTGCTGACGTCATCATTCCCCGGCTCCGGCGCTGTCTGGCGTCTGCTTGGAGGCCTTTGTGGGTGAGGAGGCAGGGTAGGTGGATTTGGCCGCCAGTGGAGGTCCACGGGCGAGGCCCAGGGATCCGGATCCTCTTCAACTGGTTCTCTTTCCCACTCCTAGATTTTGTTGACCTTAACAATGGCAAGTTCTACGTGGGAGTCTGTGCATTTGTGAGAGTCCAGTTGAAGGTGAGGGTGATGGAGTAGACCCGCTGCCGGTAAGAGTCCGGGTGGGGGGTCCGAGAGAACCAGGCTAGAGGAGCTCGGCCCGGACCTGTAGCGAAGCCAGTGCTCCTCCTGTGGGTGGAATCAGCATTTGCACACAGGGGCCTGCTCAGACTTTTGAAAAGCCCTGCTCTCGTGCCCTGTTCTTGTTTCTAAGTTAACATCGGGACATCTTCATCATAAATAGTTGCTAGCAGATATTTTGGGCCATGGTAATAAACTTGGCATTCGAAAATAGATACAATAAATCTTTAAAAAAATATATACAAATGTGGGGCTGGAGCGACAGCACAGTGGGGAGGGCATTTGCCTTACACACGGCCGATCTGGTTCGATCCCCAGCATCCCATATGGTCCCCCAGGTACCGCCAGGAGTAATTCCTGAGTGCAAAGCCAGGAGTAACCCCCAAAAAAGCAAAAAAAAAAAATACACACACACACACATATATACACATACACAAATGTCTAAGTGCCACAGAGGGTTAAATACAGTCATATATGTGCTAAAGGAAAAGTGCATGAATAAACTAATCTGAATTTTGCATTGTTTCCTCTTGAACTTGTATTTCTGACCTGTTTCTTCATTAACTTTTATCCTAATATATAGTATCACTGTATCACTGTCATCCCATTATTCATCGATTTGCTCGAGTGGGCACCAGTAACGTCTGCATTCGCCCTAACCCTGGGATTTTAGCAGCCTCTCCCTTCTTATCCTTCCCAACGGTTCCGCATTGGAGGCTCTTTTCAGGGTCAGGAGAACGAGACACATCATTATTACTGTTTTTGGCATATCAAATATGCCATGGGAGCTTGCCAGGTTGGAGAATATATATTAATGATTTTTAAATCATGTTTTAATCATTTTAATCAGAGTTCATAATTTTTTTTTTTTCTGCTTTTTGGGTCACACCCGGCGATGCTCAGGGGTTACTCCTGGCTCATGCACTCAGGAATCACTCCTGGCGGTGCTCGGGGGACCATATGGGATGCTGGGAATTGAACCTGTGTCGGCCATGTTGGCTGCGTGCAAGGCAAACACCTTACCCGCTGTGCTATCGCTCCAGCCCCCATTTTATTTTTAATAATACTTTTTAAATCTTCTGTGGGGCTAGAGCAGCAGTACAGCAGATAGAGCATTTGCCTTGCATGTGGCTGACCTGGGTTCGATCCCTGGCACTATACATGTGGTCTCCCAAGCCCATCGGGAATGATCCCTGAGCACAGAGCCAGGAGTAGGCCCTGAGCACTGCCAGCTATTGTTTCAAATCAAAAGAATCCTCCCCCCCCAGTTATGGCACTTGCCTTGCGTGTGGCCGACTCTGGCTTCATCCCCGCATTGCATGTGGCCCCTCAGGCCTGCCAGGGGTCATTCCTGAGTAGAGAGCCAGGAGTAACCCTGAGCATTCCTGGGAGTGACCCTCACACACCCCAATTAAAATAATAAAAATCTTTTATTAATAACTTCTACCATTATACTTCTCTACTTTGGTGTGTGGTATATGTGTATATAAAAATACTGTTTTAATACATTTCCAGTAGCCTCAAGACCATTTAAACATTATTTTTTTTTTGGGAGACTGAAAACTGTTTTGCTTTATTAATTTACCCAAAAAATGCACATTAATACATTCTTGGCTGACTTTTTCCATTATTTTCCCTTAATTTTGAAAGAAATGAAAGTGTATCAGGTAACCTAGTAACCATAACTAAAGGAATATACAAATATTTCTTGAATCTTTATGTACAGAATGTATTTTTTTTTAATGTAGGAGAATACTGCTATTTATTCAGCCACTGATTAGGCTGATTGAATTGGGCATGAACTCCACACCCATTTAAACATTTCTTATGGACTGAGTTACTATTCCAGGTATAACACACAGTCACTTGGATTTAAGGTGGTTAGACAACTGTATCAACTTACTGGAAGGTGGGCGGCTCCCAAGTGATGTATGTCCAGGGGGCTGGTGGGCCACTCCCACACTGGGGCTGCTTGGGGAAATTGAGGGCCTCTAGGCTACACTCCATTGTGCTCCGCAAGTCACATGGAGCTGGGAATGAAACCCAGGACAGTCTCTTGCTAGGCGTGTGCCAAAATCCTGATCCCTCTCCCGACCCTATGCCAACAATTTTATACTTAAAAATTTTTTTATGGAAGGGCCAGAGAAATAGTACAGAGGTTAAGGCTCTGGCTTACACATGGCTGATCTTGATTCACTTCCCGGAACTACATACGGTCATGTGCTTACCACCAGGAGTGATCCCTGAGCACAGAGCCAGGAGTAAGAAGTCCTGAGCACCACCAGGTATGGCCCCGAAACAAAATTAAAAAAAATCAGATTTTTATGAACAAAGCCCTCCTTCTTTCCTTCCTTCCTCTTCTCACCTTCCCTCCCTCCCTTAGCTGGGGAGAATGTGATATCAGAGTCAAGCCCAGCTTCGGCTCTTTGAACCATCTCCTCTGCCCATAAATGCATTTTTTGGTTTGTTGTTTTGTTTTTTGAGCCATACGTGGCAATGCCATACGTGTTACTCTTGCTCTGCACTCATGAAGTATGCCAGGTGGTGCTTGAGGGACCAGATGGGATAGTGGGGATCGAACCTGGGTTGGCCCTGTGCAAGGCAAGTGTTCTACTGCTATACTATTGCTCCAGCCACATAAATGCCTTTCTTGATCAAATGTATTTTTTTTTTAAGTTAGTTTATATATCCAGGCTGGAACGACAGCACAGCGGGTAGGGCATTTACCTTGCATGTGGCCGACCCTGGTTCGATTCTTCTGTCCCTCTCGGAGAGCCCGGCAAAATACCAAGAGTATTGCGCCCGCACGACAGAGCCTGGCAAGCTCCCCATGGCCTATTCAATATGCCAAAAACAGTAACGACAAGTCTCAAAATGGAGATGTTACTGGTGCCCGCTTGAGCAAATCGGTGAACAACGAGAGGACAGTCCTACAGACAGACAGTGACTTAGAGCACTGGCTTTCATTTTCATCCAGTTTATATATCCAAAGTTTGATATTATTTATTCTTAGACTTAACATTTTACAATAATTTTTCCTAGTTCTTTCCTTTTTTATTGTGGTATTGAAAAGTGAATGTTTCCACATTTATTTAAAAAATCAGTGCTATCATCAGTAATTATATTGTATTCTCTGTCAACGAACACCTCGGTCAACTTTCATTTTTGGTGGAAGCTGAGAAATGGGAAATAACATGGCCAAAGCATCTGCTCTTCAATCACAAAAGTCTCTTAAATAAAGCACTGAAAGTTCTCCATTTGTTTGGTGTCAGAGGTTTTTATTCCTTGGGATCCTGGAGCAAGTCAGATACTTAGCATTTTTGTTTGGGGGCCACACCCAGTGTTCCTCAGGGGTCAGTCCTGCCTCTGTGCCCAGAAATTACTCGACGTGGTGCTCAGGGGACCATCTGGAATCCCACATACCGAACCTGGGTTAGTCATGTGCAAGGCAAACACCCTACCATGGTACTATTTCTCTGACCCCGTAGTTTTATATAAATGAGGAAATGGGACAGCAGAATTGTCGTGATGAATACTTTGACCTGACACATCAGGCTTACTTACAGGTGTAGAAAATTGGCTCTCTTAATAGTATCTGAGCCCATGTGCCTTTTAGAAATAAATGGGGAATAAGACTACCTCATCCACATTTCTGCTTTCAATTACTACTAGTCAGTTGTGGACCACGAATACTACAAATCCATTTTGAGAGAAAGACCACACTTGCAGCTCTTGTTATGACTGTCTTAGTTTATTATTAGTTGTTATTGTGCCTGGTTTTTACATTGAACTTTATCACAGGCAGGTGTGAATTGGGGAAAACATAGCATAGATTAGGGCTCAGTACCCAGCAGGATTCCAGGCGTCCGTGGGGATCCCGGGCTGGTGTGTGCCTTGCAGGGTATGTCTGTCGTTTGAACACGGGGGCGCAAGAAGAGCCTTGGACTCCTGAGCAGGACTGAACACCTTTTCTGCCCCCAGGATGGTTCCTATCACGAAGATGTGGGCTATGGTGTTAGTGAGGGGCTCAAGTCAAAAGCTATGGCTTTGGAGAAGGCCAGGAAAGAGGCCGTGACAGACGGGCTGAAGCGAGCACTGAGGTAAGTCAAAGAGGATTGGCGAGTCTGAACCACTTTTTAGCAATTTTCATGGCAGTTCTTTTGGTTTGTTTTGGGAGGCATACCTGGCAGTGCTTGGGGGCTACTCTCAGCTCAGTGCTAGCAGAGTGAATTAGGTGGGTGGTGTAGACGGAAACCAGGTGGATATGGGATTGAACCTCCTGTTTGTAAAGCATGTGCTCAGCATGTCGAGCTGGCCCTCTGGTTCCCTCTTCAAGGTAATCCATCATCGGGCACAAAAATCAAAATAAGTGAGAGGAGCGTTAGCGAGTATGAGTGTGTTTACCTTGTGTGCGGCTCGCCCTGGGTCGGTCCCTGACAACACATATGGTCCCCATTTGCTCTTCAGAAGTGACTCCTGAGCACAGAGCTCATAGTAGCCGAGTACCACTGGGTGTGGCTACAAAGATCATAGCAAATAAGGGGGTGGGGAGATGACTCAGGGTTGGAGCACATGGATTCTGTATGTGGGAGCCCTAGGTTCAGTCCCATCACATGTTCCCGGGACACTGCCAGATGTGGCCCCCAAATAAAACCCAAACAATGAACCAAACCAGAATGATCTGTCTTCCTCCCATCCTTAAGCCCGTCTTCCCGGGTTTCCTTCTCTAATTTGCCCTGTCCCAGTACTTCCAATGCCAAGGCCTGCCCTTTCAGAAGTGAAGAGTAAAGTCCTAATTTCTCTATTTTGTACTTGATTTTACACTTCCCCCTTTTTCCCTTGAAGATCTTGTTTTTGAGTGTGGGGGACAGGAGTGTCCAGGGGCTTTCCCTGACTACTCAGAAATGACCGCTTGGTAGTGCTTGGGGGACGTGTGGTGCTGGGGATGGACTTTGAGCAAGCCAAATGCCATAATCCTGTACTGTCTGTCCAGCCCTAATGAAGACCTTTCTACAGGAGTACACAGGTAGCTCGCTCATTCTTTCTAACACACCTCGAGTTACGTATATGTGAGAGTAAATTTCATTACACGTAACTTCATTACCCCCTTTTTTAACTTCGCAAATTGAAGTATGCAAAGTAAAGTATGAAGTATCATCAGGGACAAACATAAATTTGCACTCCACATTTATACCATTATCTGTGGGGTTTATCTGAAATAAAAATTAGTTCTGACTCATTCAGCCCCCTTGGGTTACTAGGGAATCAGAGATATCTGAGAGCAATACTGGGGAAGTCTGCTCTGGAATTTCCTCCATGTCAGAGTGTAGTTAATGGGCTTAGTGACTGGTTTCATACTCATTGCCAGATGTTTTTGCTCATCCTCAGATCTGTTGAAAGCTCAGAAATACGGTGCAGGAAAACGTAGATGCCCAGTAAACCTTTCTAAACACATATTGGGGTCCATTTTTCTCCTCTCTAAGTAGTTTAGTGAAGAGTATGTTCTGTGATAGTTCCACGAAGTCATTCTCAACATTTCACCTTTCCCCCCCTCGCCCGTAGGAGTTTTGGGAATGCACTTGGAAATTGTATTCTGGACAAAGACTATCTGAGGGCACTAAATAAGCTTCCACGCCAGGTATGTTAGAGATTGATGAATGGAACGCATTAAAGATAAAATATGCAATAAAGATAATACGCTTGTATTGTGGATGGGGATGAGGGAAGAAGTGAAGACTTGGTGAGGGTTTGGGGTGTGTGTTTCAGTCTTTGAATGTTAGAGCTAGCATAGACCAGTTGCTTTATTTTTCACACGGAGAAACTGGAGCCTAGAAAATGTATGTTATGGAGAGAACTGAGGTTGGAAGTCGTTCCTCAGAGGAATATGTGGGCTCCCTGCAACACTGCTGTCATTTTTAGAATCTTGACGCTCACCTGGTTAACTGTTTTTCTTTAGCTCTGATGTCTTTAAGATTTAGATAGCCTGTGCTTCTATCAGGGTCAACCGTGTGATCTTGGCTCAGATGTTTTTTTTTTTTTCTTTGTGGGTCATACCCGGCGATGCACAGGGGTTACTCCTGGCTCATGCACTCAGAAATTACCCCTGGCGGTGCTCAGGGGACCATATGGGATGCTGAGAATTGAACCCGGGTCGGCCATATGCAAGGCAAACGCCCTACCCACTGTGTTATGGCTCAACCCCACCCAGACTTATTTTTTAACCTGATGAGTCATTCTGGCAAATGAGAGGTGATATTTCCTTGTGGTTTTGATACTCATTTTCCTGATGATTAGTGGTGTCAAGCATCTTTTCTTTTTTCTGTCTCAGGAAAAATGTCTTCTCAGATCTTCTACCCATCTTTTCTCCATTCTCTTTTCCTGCTTGTCCCCAGAGAGGATTGCAGTGATCAGTGGTTTGCACACACTTGTTTGGAAGGGCTTATTATTATTATTATTTTTTTTTGGCAGGGGGAGGGCTGAGCTGCATTAGCAGTGCCCAGAGACTATTCCTGCCTCTGTGCTCAGAAGTGATCCCTGGCAGTACTCAGGGGATCATTTGGTGCCAGAAATAAAACCCTAGTTGGCCACAGGCCGGGAAGGTGCCGCAGCCCGTGTATTCTCTCTGGCCTTTGCATTCTCTAGATGTGATGTTCCCATGCTTTGGGTTGTGGTGCTTGCCAGGGATTGCAAACCTGGTTTTCACTGCTTGCTGGGCATCCCAAATGGAGTGTATCAGGGTTGCATTTGCCATGTGGGGTAATGTCAGGGATTGAGTCTGTGGCCTCATCCCCCGGTTCTTTTTGCCATTTTTCCCTCCCCTAACCACTTCTAGCCATATGCATTTAAAAATTTTTGAATTAAAAGACCCAACGTTTTTCTCCATTTAAATTTTGTTTTGGTGCCAGAATTGAACCTAGGGCCTCATACATGTGTGTCATGTCCTTAATCTTTCAGCTAGGTACCATTTATATAGTTGTAGATACTAACCCCTTATCAGATACTAGTTTCCTCCCATTCAGTAGGCTGTCTTTTCCTTTTTTTGGTTTTTGGGCCATACCTGGTTGTGTCAGGAGCGACCCCTGGTGACGCTCAGGGGACCACATGTGATGCAGGGGTTATAAACCAGGGTGGTGGCTGCCCCCAAATGCAAGCACAGCAAGAACTCTCTCCAGCCCTACTTTTCCTTTTCATTGACGGGTTCCTTTGCTGTATAGGAGTGTGATGTAGTGGCTCTTATATTTGTTCTCTCTGATACTGATTTTCAACAAAATATTTGCCATGTTTTCTCTTACTGGAGTTTCATGATTTCAGGCTTTACATTCAAAGTCTTTAATTCGTTTGAGTTAATTTCTGCATATGGTCCAATTTCATTCTGCCTTTTGTTATTCCGAATAGGCCTATTAAATTTCTTGTAAAATTTGGTGCATTTAAACACTGTTTATCCTGGGTTGTCTTGGGGTCTACTGGGTTAGGTGAGAGGATACACATGCTTACCTTCTGTGTATTCTTCAGGTTTTCCAGAATCGCTGCGCTAGTTAACATGCAGTGTGTGAACTGGAAATATCAGTGTGTGACTTGTAAATGTTACAGAGCGGCAGTATTAGTAGCATTGTCAGTCTTACCTGTTTCCCCCTGTTCATTTTCTTCCCAGTGATTTTATTTCTAATGTCTATTTGTTTGTTTTGGGGCCACACCTGGCAATGCTGGGGGCTTAGTCCTGACTGTGCACTCAGGAATTACTCCTGGCAGTGCTCAGAGAAGCAGATGGGCTACCGGGTATTAAACCTGGTCAACCCCGTGCAACTCAAGTGCCCTCCCCACTGTACTGACTTTCCACACCAACCCCTCTCAATTATTTTATCGTGGTAAAAACTATGCACTGTAGCACTGTCATCTCCTTGTTCATCGATTTGCTCGAGCGGGCACCAGTAACGTCTCCATTGTGAGTCTTGTTGTTACTGATTTTTGGCATATTAAATACGCCTTGGGGGCTTGTCAGGGTCTCAAAAACTACACAATAAAATCGACCTCTTCTTGGTTTGACTTTGAACCACACCTGATGGTGCTCAGGGCTTACTTCTGGGATCACTCCTGGCATTGCTGGGGTCATATGTGGTGCCTTAGGCTGTCTATGTGCAAGGCAAATATTCTATCTGCACTATTGCTCCAGCCCTAAAATTTACCACTTTAAATATTTCAAGTGTACAGTTCAGTGGTATTAAATGTATTTATATGTTGCTGTACAATCATTATGTTCATCTCTGTAACTTTAAAAAATTTTGTAACTGAGGTTTGAGATTATATAGTGGGTATTTGCCTTGCAGGGGGCTGACCCAGGATTGATCCCCAGCACTCCATATGGTCCCTAGAGCCCACCAGAAGTCCCTGAGCACTGCTGAGTGTGACCCAAAATTTTTTAAAAAAAAGAAAAAGAAATAACTGGAAGCTAGTATGAGTGCAAGGCACATGTCTTCCACGTGTCCCAATTCATGTGATCCCTGGCACCTCAAGTTATTTTTCCTGCCAGGGGTTGTTCCTGAGCAAAGAGCAGGGATAGCCCACCAACACCTCTGGGTGTGCCTCCCTCTGCCCCCAGGGGGAAAAAATAAACCAATCTATATACACAAGAGTGATTTCCTACTACCCTCTTTCTGTAGACTCCTGACAAATGTCACGCCGTTCTCATTTTGGTCTCCATGGTCTTGACCATTTTAAGGACTTTAAGCAAATTATCTTTTTGTGACTGGCCCATTTCACTTAGTATAAGGTCCAAACTCAGTTTGGTTTTTTTTCCCTTTTATTGGTGGGGCACACCTTGTAGTGTTTGGGGGCTACTTGCAGCTCTGTTCTTGGGGTTTGCCCCCAGCAGTGCTTGGGGCATCATGGAATGCTGAACACTGAACCGTGTCTCTGGCATGCACAGCATGTTTCAGCCTGTTGAGTTACATATCTCTGGCCCCAAGGCCTCTTATTTGCTTGGCTATTGAGATAAGAAACTTCATGGTATAATCATCATTTTTAGGTTATTATTATTTTTATCAAATGTCATGTCGGTCCCTCAGTTAATTTGTCAATATTATTTTAAATTTAAAGTTCTCCCAAGTATAGCAGCCCTGGGTTTCTGTGATTCTTGTGGTCTGCAAGTAAAACACTTTGCTATATGCCACAGAATCCGTAATCATTACCTCTCACATTTGGTGAGATGTAGGAACAAGCCCAAAGTCAGGGATTCCTGCAGCCTTGGCTGGTGACCACTGCCAGTGCTGTCCAAATGGCCTGCCTTCTTGTCATCTGATGGATTCTTAGGTGTGGCCATCCAAACCCAGGTCTTTAGGCAGGAAAAGACGAGCAGTTGAGAGAAGCCATTCTCCCGCCTCCTTTTCCTTCCTTTCCTAGTTGCCTCTCGAGGTAGATTTAACTGAAGCAAAGAGACAAGATTTTGAACCATCGGTGGAGAAAGCGAGATATAGCAGCTGCAGACAGAACACGGCTCTGGGACTCTCAAAACCACAGTGCGTGAGCTCCCCTGAGAGACCAAGTCACTCAGACGGTCTCACTGTGAAACAGGAGGATAAGGACAGCAGCTCCAGGTAGGGGGTGTAAATGCCCTTTTCCTTCCCATGCAGAATCAGCTACATGACTGCTGGGCTACCTTTTGTAGTCCCTTTAAACCCCTACCTGTTTGGTTGCTCTTCTGCAGATGCTTGAGCTCTGCTGTCGAGAGCAAAGCCACCTACCAGCGGAAGCTCCGGCAAAAACAGTTGCAGCAGCAGTTCCGGGAGCAAATGGACAAACAGCAGCAAGTCCAGCCACCTGCGCCATCAGTGGAAAAGAAAGGTCAGCAGGTGGGAGTGACGGGAACAGAGGTTCTGGGAGAAGCATGCGCTCTGGCTGAGTAACCTGCTCCTCTGCCAGCACCAGGAGGGTCAGGTCCCAGCCGGACTCGCAGGCCTTCTCTGGCTTCACATGCATGGGCGAGCACAAGGAATTAAGATAGTGAACTCTGATCTTTTGAGGGAGGGAGGGAGGGAGGGAGGGAGGAAGGGAGGAAGGGAGGGAGGGAGGGAGGAAGGGAGGAAGGGAGGGAGGGAGGGAGGGAGGGAGGGAGGGAGGAAGGAAGGAAGGAAGGAAGGAAGGAAGGAAGGAAGGAAGGAAGGAAGGAAGGCTGGCTTAGCATAATTTGGAACAAAAAAATTCAGGGCATGGAAATTTTTTGCTTGACCTTGGTTACCTCTTCATGAGGAAGCTTTTGTTTCTGAGGTATCTTTGTTTATGAGGCAAAATTGGGTTTGAAGAAATGAACACTTTGGGCAGTTTCTGAGTTTTAGGAATCTTTCTTAGAACAGAACAGAGCTTGTTCCAAACTCTTTTGCCCACTTTCTCCTAAGAGTCATGAAAGAGTGCCCCCCAAAAGTCAGGATTGGTTTCAAGTTCGGCTCATTAATATTCCTCTCAACACTGGCAGACTGAAATGAATCTAGGGTTAAAACCCCAAACTAGTCAGTTGGCATATGCTTAATGTAAATGAGTCCAATTTAGGTTCCAAACTATTCTAGAAGCTTCTGGGGGTAAATGAATGTCCTCTAGGATAAATCCTGTGTCAGAAAACTAGACCCACTGTTTGGTTATTTTACATATTGTTTCAACAAAGATTGTAATAAAGTAAAAATGGACCAGACAGCTCCTAAAGTAAAAATGGACCAGACAGCTCCTAAGCTCCCTGGTTTTTGTTGCTAAAGGAAGAAACATATACTTACATCTGGCAATAAGAAAAGGAAATCTCTTCTTTTCAGCTCCCCATACGTGCTCTTTGTAGGACTGGGACTCCGCATACTGGCAGTGCAAGGAACCAGTGGGATGTCAGGCAGCCTACAGCTGCTTTCTCTAATAACTGACTGGGGTAACTCTCTTCCTCTTGCAGAATCGTTGCCTGCACCTCCAGTGAAGCACAGCACTCCTGTCATTGCTGCTTTAGAACCACCCACAGGGAAAGACTTGGAAGGTTGGTAGGGGGCTAAAGGAATGTGCTAAGTGTGATCTCAGTAAATACCTGCGAAATGCTTATCAGGTTACTGTACTGTATACTACTTCTGGTAGCTACATCTTAAAAGACACGAAAATCCTTGTATCTGTCCATTTCCATTTAGTCTGTGAAGTGTTAGGAAAAAGACATACTAAGCTCTCTGTTAACCTAACCTAAGAGAAGTTTCCCCAGACTATCATAAGGCATCGAGGACAGTGAAGATCAATTATTTTCAGGGCTTTGTATGGGAATACTTCTTTTTGGGTTGTCTGTTTCTCACCGAGACCTGGTGGTTCTCATGGCCTACTCCTCGCTCTGCATTCAGGGATCACTCCTGGGGGGCTTGGGACTATATTGGGTGTTACATGCAAGGCAAATGCTCTACTTGCGGTACTACCATTTTGGCCCCCGTTTTTCTTGTTTTGTTTTTGGGCCACAACTGGCAGTGCTCAGGAGACCAAACAGTGCTGAGGACTAAAGCCAGCCTCCTGCATTCTTTGCACGTGTTCCACCACTGGGCTTTTTCTCTGGCCCTGAGAAGTGTCGATGCTACATTTTCCTCTGATCTCCATTCCTACAGACACTCTTGAAATGTGGGATATGACTCCAAACACGTGGGACAGTATTGCCAAGACTTTATCTAGTCCAGAACCACCTGAGACTCCTGCTGTACCAGTACTGAAGAATGAGACGGCGACCCACAATAGCATTAGCCACCAGAATCCACAAGCAAAATCTGAACCCTGGTACCCACCAAATCACAACCAACCTGTAACAGGTAGTATTCAGGAACCAAAACGTAAGGGAGAACCTGGATTTAATTCTGTAGATTTTAAAGAATGAATTTTAATAACTTGGATAGAATTGAGCTAGAGGACAAAAATAGTAAGATAATTGTTTGAGAGGGCTCTTCCTTTGGCATTTTTAGGGGCCAGTACCCAGCATGTGCTCTAGGTCTGTGCTCAGGCACATGGTGGTAGGGGTCAAGCTTGGGTCACATGGGAAAGCCACCTCCCAACCTGTTCCTTTCATGTTTTGACTGAAGGCATAATCCTTTTTAGCTTGATAGCAGTAGTAAGAAGTAAAGTGATCATGTTAAGAGCTTTTCCTCGTTCAAAGTCTCTCTGGGTAATAAGCTATGCCCTGCTCATGACAATTTTCACTCTCCCACAGGGAACTATGATTCCTATAAGAAAGACCAGGATATGAAGAGAAGGAAATTGGATCCATCGTAATCAAGCTACACCACCAGACCACCACAAAAGGGCTTTACAAATTTTGTTCATCATTCCTAGGGAATGAAGTCTATTTCCAAGGTTTTATCATGCTTCATCCCGAACTTTGAGGATTGGACTGCTGGGTTCTATTACAGATAGAGTTATGCAGTTGAAGAACATGGGACTTCTAGTCACACAGTGGGGCAATTCTGGGCGAGATTAATACTCTTACTCTTGAGGCCCTTTACTAATTATCTCTGCATCATTATGTTAAATAAAGATAAAAATTTTAGGAATCATCATTGGTTACAAACCCTTAACACAATGTCATACCGCTAAGTATCAGTTTCAATAGTGACTCAAAATAAAATTGCCACCACTGCCGTCTCTTTTATTTTAGGGCTCCATGTTTGTTTTTGTTTTGGGGACATACCCAGTCGCACTTACACTTACTCCTGGCTCTGCTCAGGGATCATTCCTGGTGGGACTTGGAGGACCATTTGGGATGCCTTATCTGCAGTACTTGGTTGGAGCAATAGCACAGCGGGTAGGGCATTTGCCTTACACGTGGCTGACCTGGCTGACCAAGGTTCGATTCCTCCGCCCCTCTTGGAGAGTTTGGCAAGCTACCGAGAGTATCTCGCCTGCACAGCAAAGCCTGGCAAGCTACTCGTGACATATTCAATATGCCAAACACAGTAACAAGTGTCACAATGGAGATGTTACTGGGCCCACTCGAGCAAATCAATGAACAACGGGAGGATAGTGACAGTGACCTGCAGTACTGTCTCAGTTGTCCCAGGGCTCCATATTTTTAATAGGCATACCTCATTTGTATATCTCATCACTGCAGATACAAGCTTGTAGGATAACATTGGTTTGTCCTTTCTGCCTTACCGCAGGGAGCTTAGGTTTATTGGGTTACTCCCATTACAGTGCTCCTGAGGCACTTTCATTTCTCTGTGATTATCTGCAAACTTTTTCTTTGTGCTCTGCTCCCCCAACTGGTCAATCACCTTTATCTCCTAATCAAACTCTGTTAACTTGTAAATATTGCTTTCTCGTCTCCTTAGGTCTGCATAGTTAATTCAGAGCCATGTCCTTTTTTGTATAGACACAGGAAGACAGTTAATTCTATGCTTTTGTAACTTGGGAGTTAGTTGACTCCGAATAATATTCACTCCTGGGCATCTGTTCTCTCCACTTAAACCTCAGTTGCCCTTAGTTCCTAGCACCCCAAAAGCAGGGTCCCGATGAGGGACTGGATGTACCCAGGGCAAGCTCTGAGCTACTCTGGCATCGAAATGGGCCTGGGCAAAGAGCCATAATACTTAACTGTAAGTTACGAGCATGGCCATGGACAAATTCTGCCACAATCCAAAAAGTAACAACTAGACTAGGACCCTGCTAGGGTTAGGAAAGACTAATCTGGCCTGAGCACTGTAGTCTGTGATCTCTAGCGAGATGTCCCCTGGAGAGCCACCCTACAAGCTTCATGTATCTCTTACTGTGTCCATACAAAATGACTAATATTAAATAGATGCAGATTTAACCTCCTCCCCCCAGGTTTCCAGTTTTCCAGTAGCTTGGCAGTCACACCCACAAACTATCCTCGGCACCATGTAATCTCATCAACGGCCAAGACCCAGGGACTATAAAGCTCAAGGAAGAGAGCACGGTAGAATGTCCTGACCCCGTGCCAGACTGTCTTCACCAGGGCACCTTGGAGGGGGGCGGGGTTGTCTCCTTCTCCGCTCCAAACAGAACCCAGGCAGCCAAAAACCTCCAGAATTGAACTGCTGCCATGCTCAAGGCCACTCTCCACATGCTTGAGGAACCTCACCCAAGATGGGATGAACCTCACCAGAGTGGACCGGCAGGAAAACCCGATATGAGGGAACCTGTGACTGAGATCTCCAAGCCCTCTTGGACGGCCTCCACCCCACAGTTCCCCAGTTTTCCAGTAGCTTGGCAGTCACATCCACAAACAACAAAGACTTTCCTGGACATTATATTCTAACCATAACAAGCAATATGAAACAAATCGTCTAGCATTATCTTTTTTTTTTCTTTTTGGGTCACACCTGGCAATGCTCAGGGTTACTCCTGGCTCATACATTCAGGAATCACTCCTGGCGGTGCTCAGGGGACCATATGGGATGCTGGAAATCGAACCTGGGTCGGCTGCGTGCAAGGCAAACACCTTACCCGCTGTGCTCCAGCGCTAGCACTGTCTTTGACAGGTTTGAATGGTGGTGAAACTGGTGTCAAAATATCAAATGTAACCAAAGTAGAGAGGGACTATGGGGAAATTGTCTGCCACACAGGCAGGGGAAGGATTGGAATGGGGGTGGAGGTGTGGGTAATACGGGATTTTGGTGGTGGAAAATGTGCATTGGTGAAGAGATGGGAGTTTGATGATTGTATGACTGAAGCTCAAACATGAAAGCATTGTACCTATGTCATGCTGAATCAAAAAAAAAAGGGTGAAATAATGAACATTCAGAATAGAATAAAAAAATTTGGAATTCATGCCCAATTCAACCAGCTTAATGGCTGAATAAGTAACAGTACTCCAAGGTTATATATATAAAAGATTTAAGATGTTTAAGTGGTTATTGTACTAAGGAAGAGAGAAAACCCCAGGGGATCAGGAAGGGCTTTCATATGTTGACTGCACTAGGGACTTGGGTGTGGTTCCTGCAGCTAAGGTTTTGGGAGGGTATGAAGAGACTAGAGAGACCAGGAAGGCGAGCTGGAGCTCAGAGACTAGCAAGGGGGACAGGAGACTGGAATGCGGAGTTCAGTGAGACTGGAACAGGCACTTGGGGAGAATGGAATAAACGGCAACTGATCACCAACCAGCCTGGCCCTTGTTTCCTCCCTTGTCTGCCCTTGGCATCGGCTGTACCGAGTGGGGTAGAGACCACCAGACTCAGGCTGTGGGAGAGCCGCGGGCTTCTTCGTTTTATGAATACACACAAGCTGAAGGTTTGTGGTACCTCTGCATCAAGCAAGTAAGTCTGTCAGCGTCATTTTCCAACAACATGTGCTAATTTTGTCCTGTTTTGGCAACATTGCAGTTTTTTCATTACCTGTTAATGGTTGTATCTGTGCCCAGCGATCTATCATGTTACTATTATACTTTTTCTTGGGAGCCACAAAGTGCACCCATGTAAGATGGGGAGCTTGATGTTTTCTGTTTTGCTACCTCCCACTCTTTGAGCATTCCAATACTAAGATTCACCAATATTGAAATGAGTCCAATAAAAACTAGACATGACTAAATGTAGTGAGGATAGAATGCTGAAAGCCAAGACAGGCCAAAAGCCAGGCCTCCTGGGTCATTTAGCAAAGTTGTGAAATAAGGACACGTTCAAAGGAATGAAAAGTGCTGTGCATGTGAATGAAAAAGTGAAACAGCCCTGGGGATAGCATAAGGAAGTGAACATACGTATCCTACACAGGACCACCCAACCTGTTTGCGTTCCTGGTGCTATCTATGGTCGCCTGAGTAGCACCAGGAGTCACTCTGAACAGAGCCGGAAGTCCTGAGGACCAAGAGGTGTGGTAAAAAAGAAAAAGGAAGCCACAACAAAAATGAGCCAAAGGGCTTGTGACATTTAAAGGTAGAAAACAACTTAGTTACGAAAAAGTGCAAGGTGAAACAACTTTAATGTCAGCTCTGCAACAGACTTTCTGAAGATATATCATTGAAGGCAACTTTACTATAAACAATGGATTTTTCAAAGCAGATGAAAGTCTTCCACTGTAAAAAGCCACGTAGGAAATAATAGGTAGAAAGCCGTCAATGCCTGGTTTTTCAAAGGTCAGGCTGATTCTCCTGTTAGCTGATTTCCTTAAAGCTGAAGCTAGCATTCATTTACCATTCTGAAATTCTAAGGCCCTTAAGATCTATAGAAGATCTACTTTGTCTATGCTGTATAAATGCAACAAAGCCTGGATGGTAACAGTATGTTTACAGTATGGTTTATTGATTGAAAGATTACTGCTGAGACCAACTGATCAGAAAGAAGATCCCTTTCAAAATATCACTGGCTTATAAATGTACCTGATCAGAGCTCTGATGGATATATAGTTAGGTTGATATGTTTCCCTGTTTGTGAGTCAAGGAGTAATGCTGACTTATATGTCTAGGATATTTTGTAAGACTATCGCTGCCATAGATGATTCCTGTGATGCACATGGATATAGTAAATCCGAAACCTTTTGGAAGGGATTTACCAATGGTTCTAAATGCCATCAAGAACATCCATGATTCCTGAAGGATCAAAATGTCACCATAACGAGTTTTGAAGAGGTTGATTTTAAATCAGCTCTCCTGGATGGCTTTGTGGGGTTAAAGATTTCAGTGGCTGGAGATGCAACTGAATTGCTACAATCAAGCCCAGCAAGTGACCGAGAGTATCTTGCCCGCACGGCAAAGCCTGACAAGCTACCTGTGACGTATTCAATACGCCAAACACAGTAGCAAGTCTCAAAACGGAGACATTACCTGGCCCACTCGAGCAAAACGATGAAGAATGGGAGGGCAGTGACATTAAAACTTAACAGATAAAGAACTGCATCTTATGGAAATGTGTTTTTTGAGGAGTTGGGATACAGATAGCCCAGAGAGCTAGTGTGCATGCTTTCATGCATGAGATCAATATTTGATCCCTGGCATTGTCCTTGGAATGAGTCCATTAGGAATCACCCTTAAAAAACTGCCAGGAATAACCCCCTTAGCACTAACAGGTGTGCTTTTTTCAAAATAAGGTGGTTTGGGACTGGAGAGATGGTATGGTGGGTAGTATGCTTTGCACACAACTGACCCCAGTACCTCATATGGTTTCTTGTGCTTACCAGGAGTGATTCCTGAGTGCAGAGCCAGGAGTAAGTCCAGAGCACTACTGCAGGGTGTGCGCCCCCCCCCCGCCCCCCCCCCCCCCACACACACAGCTGGTTTTTTGTGGTTTTTTGAGATGGGATCTAAGGGTGAAGATTCTGTGAACACTGGAGATAATATCGTAGGGTTTAAGAAGATTTGATTTAAAAAAACTGTTAGGAGGGGTGGCAATGCTCAGGGGTTACTTCTGGCTTTGCATTCAGGAATCACTCATGGTGCTTGGCGGGGGGGGGGGGGGGGGGTCCATATGGGATGATGGGGATGGAACCTGGGCCAGCCATATGCAAGGCAAGCATCCTACCTCCTACCTGCTGTATTCTTTTTGGCCCCTTGATTCAATTGTGTGCTATAGAGAAATCTTTCAAGAGAAGATGCCTCAGATGATATGGCAAACTTCACTGTCTTATTTTAAGAAACGGCCTGCAGTCAGCAACCTGATTAGTCGTAGAACGAGACTTCATTAAGTGAAGTGCGACCCACTGAAGACTTAGATGATTAAGATTTGATAGCAGTAAGGCAATTCCATTTTATTAATTTTGTGGGGGTCACACCTGGCAGTTCTTAAGAGTTACTCCTTGCTCTGTGCTTAGGAATCACTCCTGGCAGTGCCCAGTTGACCATCTGCCAGAGATCTGAACTAGGGGCAGTCACATGCAAGTCAACTGCCTACACCCATATTTTTCAGTCTCAGCAATAAGGCACTTTAAGGTATGCACTGTTTTTTTTTTTTTGATAATATGCACTGGGCCAAATGTAGGGTGTTGCCTAGAACCAAATTTGTAGTATCTCAGGTGTGCTTGTTCTGTTATACTATGAACAAAGATTATAAGGGGTGTATTACTGTGTTGTATAATTCAGACTACAGTCTTCATCTTTGGAAACTTCTTAATAGATTTCTGGATCACTATTACGTATATTTTCCTAATCAAAGAAACGATCAAAGAATGTAGACATTATTTGGAAGAAGCAAAATCCTTTGTAATATTAGATGATATAAATAGCTGTACCTAGTTTTCTACTTGAAATGTGAGATGTCACCCACCTTTTTCTTAGTGCTTAGAATGTTTCAGAATTCTTTTTCTTAAGCAGAGATAAGAAATGAAAGTACAGGAAAGCAGTTAACTATTTTTATTCATTCGGAACATAAAGAGGCAATAACTTACCTTGCATCCCCTTTGACTTGCATGTTGTTGGTCACAGTCATCTTCTGATATTGATATCCTTACATTTTCTTTAGAAAAAAAATCTTTCTCTGGGATAATCTTTAGCTCAGGTCAGAACTGCCACTAAAAAAGTTGCTGAAGTTAGTAAACCACACACAATTAAAACAGAACTAAAGACATGCAAAAAGGAATTTGCTGGAAATGAAACCCCACAGCTCAACAAAAGCAAGTTTGGTTTATTTGAATGGTTTCATTAAATAAGTCTACAAAGGTAACAAACTGAAGCACAAAGCGCAATCTTACAAGAAGCGCAACACCCAGAGTTAGTGCAAAATGTACAATTAACGGCTGCTGAGAAACCCCCAAGGTTTGAAATTCAGTTTTTTTTTAAACAGTGTACATTGTTAAATAATGTAAGGAAAACATTTATAATTCAGAAATATTTTTTAATGTGGAAAAAGATACTCAAAGTGTACTATTAACACAAAAATAATTTAAACAGTTCAGTAGCACTAGTTCATTCCTCTAGGCTTCAGTTATTTCATCCACAGGAGGGAAAAATAAATCAACAGTAAATAAAACCAGTTCTTACTTTTGTGTGCAAGTGAAGAGATCTCAAAGTTATTAAACCAAAATAACAAAACGGTAATGTACTGCATTTGGCTTCCTCTATCCTCTGGTAAAAGGTATTGTTTGTTTTAGGTGGTCTGTTTGTCATTTTCTTGGCACCTTCTTTGTTTTATCCGTGTAACTCCCCAAGAATTGTAAGCAGAGAATAAATAAGTAGCGAAATATGAAGTAGGGTTTGGAACCCCTCCCCTTTTAATTTCTACCTTCCTAAAATGTTCAGCTTTCGTTTGCATTGTCGGGACCTAGGTTAATATAAAGAAAAGAGGGCCCGAGAAGGAATGACAGGACAGGACAGTCAACCACGGTCTTCCTAATGTGGTAATTCCTGGGATGTGCCATTGAGGTGGGTAAGAAGTTGGAAATCTGTCAATATCCCATCTCGAATCAAGAGAAGAAGCACCCACAAAATTAAGATTCCGAGCTCCTTTCCTGATCTTCAGCAATACCAGAGACCTCAAACTTAGCCAATTAGGAGAGTATTTCCTGAAAGCTCTTGAAAATAATAGAACCGCCCATTACAAACAGGCATAGTACTAAATAATACTGGTTGGTTGCAGTTATTAAGGGGATTATCTGTTTACATGAAAATGTGAAAATATCAGTTGCAATTTTAAAAATAAAGGTGGCACAACAGAATATGATCCTGCAACCATCTGGACATCTTCTAGGAAATGGGTAGGTCCACTTTCCACAAAATATATCCCGAAGCTGAAAAATGCATCATCCATGTCCAACAGGAAGAAAGCAATCAGATTTTTTCATAGAGCAACTTTCTCCATCTGTGACTTACTATCACATTTCCATCTTAAAAATTAACCCCCACCCCCTTCCTTTAATATTCAGCCATTTCTTCTAGGTCTCATCTGTTTAAGCCCCACTCAAATAAATAAAGCTTATGACAACGATTGACCAGGCATCTCATATCTTCACACCAAGTTTGTTCTCTTGTTTAGTCTTTCTTTTCATTCACTTATCATACACAACCCATAATCTTTTTAACTGCCCAATTTTGTTACCATACCCTTCCTCACTGTTCCTGAAACAGAACTTTCTGCTTTCAACCACTGGTGTCAACTTAACTTCTCACTCTGCTCATATTACACCTGCTCTAGACAAAACTGTTGTATGACTTAAGAAATACTCTTTCAATTTCCCTTTGGCATAACCCACTGCTGGGGTCACCATGGACCACATGCCCTTTGCTGTTCTGGGTTCTCATGAGAAGTTGATGCTAATGGCAGAAGCAATAGAAGTCCAAGGCACTAAAATATCCAGCAAGCAATACTGGGAGAACAGAAGTATTCAAGTACAGTAATTTATACAATTTTACATTCACATTTATTTATCTAATACAATGGAAATACAAAGGAAAAAGTTAAAGTGTCTCAATAAGTAAAGGACAGAGCTAGCTTTTTTTCCCCAACTTTTTAAACCTTTCATATTTTACTCTTAAAACTACTGTTGTCCAACAACATTTATATATCACAGTGTTTCCACATCAAAACTGATGGCAAAAGTTACATGTCCGCAGGGAACTTAATTATTTTTCCCTAATTGCTAATGCTGCAGTCAAAGCTGCTAATATTGTCTGCTTAAAGCACTAATGACCTATCATAAGAAAGGGTTGAAACCTCAGTTCCTTGGTGTTTTCCGCTGGGTTCGAAAGAGCAACAAATAGGACAAAAGAAAAAGAAAAAAGAAAAAGTGGGTGGGGGCGTATACAGGGTAGGAGAGCGCCCAATGATGTATTTTCTGTCTCGTGGTTTAGATTCTTAAGGAGTAAGGTTTTGGGGGAAGGGGCGGTAAGGGGAAGTACCAAAATGGAAGAGCTCTATCCACTTGGATATACAGATGGGGTGTGTTTTTTAACTTGAGCTCTCCATTAGCTTTCTAACAGAATCATCTTAACTAGCCCTCATTTTTGGGTATTGATAAACAGAAAAGCATAGTTCAAAGCTGCCCTATCACAAGAAAGCTGTTATTTCCTTTTTGTTCCACTCCAGTAAATGGCAAAGGGAGGGACATTCTCCATTTTGAGGGCTCTAGCGGTATTAAAAAACATTCCTTTCTGGCAAGAAATAACCAGTTAAATGCAGCACTAGTAGTTAGTATATAGGCTACTTTCCCATCCCCCCCTCCCACCCACCCCTCAGCATTCCATCTTCTGCCCCCAAATCTATTTGGTTAATGTCTCTAGGTCTGACTAAGTGGTCCGCAGGTTGGAACCTGGGGGGTTGCTGATGGATTTTTGCAAATTGCTGATGTTGAAATTCTGTAAGGAGGCAGTTCCCACAGGCTGGAACTGCCCAAGTGGCTGTGGTGCTGGGCCACCGGTCCCACTCCACTGAGCGCCAAAGGGGGGAGCTGGAAAACCGTACTGCTGTGGGGGGCACATCGACTTGGTGAAGTGACCTAGAGAGGTAGCTGATGCTGCAGAGAGGGGGGCGGAGCCACCCAGGTTTGAGGTCATGGAGATGCACAGCTGACCAGGCGCAGAGAACTTCCTTGCCATTCCAGGGCCCTGTGAACAAAACAACCTCATGTCAACGATGGGGTGATTAACCCATTCATGTGAAATGGGTGGTATTTTAGATTTCATTCCAGAGTTAGGATTTCTTACAGGGTAGAGTATTTTGTTAATACCTAAACAAAATATGCCATAATTACAGATTTTTGAAATATATGTTTGTGCATATGTGTGTGTGTATATATACATACATACATATATATGTGTATACATATGTATACACACACACACATACACACATCTATATATAGATCCTCCATCTTCCAGTAGGCAGGGGTCCCCCACCCCCCGCCGTGTAATCCCATCAACGGCCAAGACCCAGAGACTATAAAACCCACCTCCCAGAAGAGAACAGCACAGAATCTCCTGCCCCTGCACCTGGCTGTCCTCGCCAGGGCCCCTTGGAGGGGGGCGGGTTGAGTTTCCCTCCCTGCCCTGAGCAGAGCCCCGGCAGCCGAAGACCTCCTCCAGAACCAGCCACCACCATGCTGAGACCACTCCCCACACGCATGAAGGTACTGGCAGAGGAACAAAGGCATGCGGGTCCCGGGGCTGAGATCTCCAAGTCTACTCAGACTGGGGCCGAGCATCCTCCACCCAGATCCTCCATCTTCCAGTAGGCAGGGTCACACCCACCAACAGCTCCCGACATCTTATTATCTCATTCTTGCTTTGGACAACCTGGCAGGCTACTGAATGTAACCTGCCCACACGGCAGAGTCTGGCAAACTCCCCATGGCGGACCCAATATGCCAAATACCAGTAACAATGATGGGTCTCATTCTCCTAACTCTGAAAGAGCCTGAATATGGCACTTTTTAGAATCTCAGAGCTAGGACGAAGGAGATATTACTGGTGCCTGCTCGAGGCAATCGACAAACAACAGGATGATTGTGATATATGTGTGTGTGTGTGTGTGTGTGTGTGTGTGTGTGTGTGTGTGTGTGTGTGTATCTACCCCTCTTCCCCCAGTTTTTGGGCCACACCTGGTGATGCTGAGGGCTTATTCCTGGCTCTGCACTCAGGAATTATTCCTGGTAGCGCTCGGGAGACCATATGGGAAGCTGGGTACTGAATCCAGGTTGGCCGCCGGCAATGCAAGAGCCCTACCTCTGTACTGTTGTTCCAATCCGATTCTTTATATTCACCAAATACTATGTGGTATGTGTGTGCATGCAAATCAGAATATGGAAGGAAAAGAGCTGACCTACTGGGAGCCAGAGATTTGGGGAACGAAAACTAAAAGGGTATACCTGGCTGATGTGTATCTTCTTTTTCTAAAATACCTGAGGCCAGGGAGGATAGCACACCAGGTAAGGTGCTTGCCTGGTACGTGAGTGCCAATCTTAGCAACACAAATGATCCTCCCAAGCATTGCCAGGAAGAATCCCTAAAGCAGAGTCAGGAATAAGCCCCAAACACTCCTGCATGTGGTTCCAAAACAAAAATGAAAAAGGAGGAGCTACTAAAAAGATTATGGCATGAAATATTAAGCACTAGCCTAAGTAATATGTTTGATTCAAATGTGTGCTCTGACAGACTTGGAACACAAGGAAAGAATTACCTCATAATTCATGTGCCCTTTGCTTCCTCTCCTGCCTGAAAGATTCATGGCATCTCGGGCCCAGTTGTCCACCAACTTGTGCAGGTCATCTGTGAATGTGCCCTTCCTGCTGGACGTCATGGCAGGTGGCTGAGCTTGGGCAGCTTGGCTGTTCACTGGCCCCCCGACAGTGTTTGTGCTGCTGGTCCCTAGAGGAAGAAGCAAAAGAATACAACCATTAAGAGGAGCCTGGACTATAACTGTAGGAAAAGAAAAAACTTCACAATATGATGACAAGCAAGCCACAAAACGGGAAAAGAATATATTGGGAAGCCATGCAAGAAAGGAAGTTTCCAAGGTACTGTGTTCGGGGCAAAACAGGGTAGTCAAACAGGTTCTTTTCAGGAAGCTGCTGCAGATGAGGCAAAACTCAGGGTGATGATAGGTACAAAGGGCAAAAACTTCTCTCAGCCCCTCCACAGCACTGTAGAGTAGTGAAGCTTGCCGCGAGTACGGTATTCCCATCACCATGTCGATGTGGGAGGTGTAGTATGGGCAATGAAGCCAGTTGCCTTAGAATGTTGCAGAATGTAGGGCAAAAGAAGATTTCTTGCACATTAAAGCAAGGTTAAAGAAAGAGTTAAAGGAATGCAAAGGTAAGTGCTTGGCCCAGGAAAAGATGGGGTCCCTAAACCATGAAGCCACTGACAGTCTTTAACCATTCTTTAATAGAAAGTAACAAAAGCAGTAGCATGCTCTGTAAAAAGAAACTTGGCACCCAACCACTAACAGTGAAGTGGTCCACATAAACTTAGGAGCGATCACGCTTTTAGCCTCCCCTAGTTGTTAATGAGTAAAGACCCAAAATCACTCATGAAGAGAGGTGGACTTTTTTGTTGTTTCGGGGGCCATGCCTGGAAGCGCTCTGGGGACCATGAGCCGCTGGGGATTGAACCCCAGGCTCTTGGACCCAAGGCATGTGCTCTAGCCCTCTGAGCTATCACCCTGGACCCTAAGGAAGGCTCTTTATGCTGTACTCGAACGATTCAACTCCAGGAAGACCGTTTTCCTCAAGGTGACTTAGGTTTCAATTGGTTCGAGGTTCTTCGCCCATTCCCTTGCCCCCTCTTCCCAGAAGAGCAAGCACTCTCATGTGGAAGCAACAGGAACATTCAGGTGAGGGAGGGTGCAAAGGGGAGGAGAAGCTTTGAGATTATGATGAAGAAATTCTATTGCTAGGGTTTGAAAAGAAAGGAGTCTGTGTCCTGCCTGATTTCGGCTCTGCTGGAGGGCACACTGAAGATTATTCGAGGAGGCAAGATTTAGGGAAGAGGGAAAGAAGAGTCAGGGTCTTGTTTCATACCCCTTACACCCCACTTTCTTACACAGGATCTCGTATTTGCTGCAGAATAAATAAAAGCTATTAAAATAAGTTGTGAGCCACTGATACTTAAGCTATTTAAGTAATGCTGAGGGCTAAGGATGCATACATATTCCTGCTTTCAAGATCAAGCAGCACTGGAGCACAGCAGCACACCTCAAGCAACTCTGCCATCTAAAAGTCCTTTCAATACATATATATATATACACACTTTTATTTTCTTTTTAAATAGCCCTTCATAATCCACTGCTGGTTTCAAGTTTATATTCTAGCACCCAAGGAATGGCATACATAAGCAAGTCTGCCCTAGAGTAACAGCTAATCTGGACGTGAAGTTGCAGAGTGAAGGTTACATGCTCGCGGCCACCTAAGCAAGACCTTGATCTGCAGTGTGTATCAGCCCACTTTTTGGTGCCTGAGAGAGCCACAGGGGGGTTTCTGTTGCACAGACAGTGTAAAGGGAAGGATAAATTCACTACAATACAGGAAACCCAAGTGGAAAAATATAAAAGCACAGGAAACAGCCCTCCTCAATTAGCAAGAGAGACAGTGGTGGAATAGGAAGCACAGGCAATGAGGATGGGTAGTCATGATGATGGAATCCAGATAGGCAAGCATGTCACATGCATGAGGATGATCATCAAGTTACTTGAATTACTGCATGATAAGCTTGACAAAGTTTCAAAATCAGAAAACAAAACAAAACCAAAAAAAAAAAAACCCAACCAAAAAACCAAAAACCATCACAAGTGAGCAGAGCTGTCAAAAGCCAAATACAAGCAGCGCAATCGAGTTGAGCATTTTTTATTCCCAAAGCTCATGCTGGGAGTGATGCCTCTCTAGTCTCATGCTAGTTGCCTCTGATACTGTAAGGCCCCTTTATAACCAGATTCCATTTTTCATTTTGATAAATATTAGCAATACTGGATTCTGAAAGTGCAGGTTTATGCTGTAAGGGAGAGGCGACCATAGTTTAAACCTTATTCTCATTGCTGAAAACAGATTTTCCACCAAAGAGGGGAAAACCACATGCTTTTTAGACCAGAATTGAATGCCTGGAAAAGCAGATTTGCTGATAAGGATTAGGAACAGCTAGTGCATTCAGTTCATTATAGAAGTGAAGAGAATTTCTGATACAGATTATTTCTGAGAATACTGCTTGTCTTACAGAGGGTCTACTACCTTTAAACCTTATTCAATCAATGACCCTGAAAAGCTCCAAAAAGGAGCCATTTTACCATAGAAAATTCATTCAAAGACTTTTTGTCAATACATTTCCCTCATACCCCACACCACCAGGTTCTAGTAACAACCTATATGAGGCACAACTTACCGCCCAGTAGCCCAAATGTAGTTTTCTTGTTGGCCCTGTAGGTGGCCTGCTGAGTTGCTGAACCAACCTTAAAGTGAAGCCACTAATCTAAGAAGCCAAATTCTACAAAATAATGTCATCTCACCAATCTTGCAAACCTTTCTCACTGTAATGTGAAAGTATGGACTTTTCTCTTTTTTAGGGGGTGGGGGTGAGGGGGTGCAGAGAATGCTGACAAAGGGCCCAAATTCATAAATCAGTATCTGGAGACCTTGGGGCCATTCCTGGTGACATGGTGCTGCTTGGGCCCAGTGGTGCTGACGATCACCAGGTCCAGTGATGCTTTAAGGGGTCATGCAGTGATGGAGATAGAACTTGGGGCCTCAGTATGCAAGACATATGTGAGTTATCATCTCATCCCCAAGGGTTATGAACTTTTATATGTTTTAACAACTGTTTTTTCGGTTGACACAGCCACTAGTGGCTGGCACGTACTTGCTGACTAGAGGACTCTTCCCCAAAGGAGCCAGGTAGCTCTGATCTCTCGATATTCATGTGCCTCACCAACTTCTGTTACAGAGCTATGCTCACAGGGGAGGAACACTGAGAACACGAATTATGAGGTGATTTCTTAACTAGGAGGAGAGCCAGTGGTCAGCAATTAAGCACATTAAAGGATCTATTAGAAAAGGGTGCAAAACTAGACAGATGGAGTTGGGAATAGGGAGTTAGCTTTAGGTTTCAAAGAATTAATGAGTAACAGGCTTTGCAATCAAGGATCAAAAGTAACAGAAAGAAAAGATAATTACTACAGAGCTGGTTGCAAGGACAGACTTTTTTCACCATCTTCCCTGAAGCACAAAGAGAGAGCAATGTGTTAAAGATAAAGAAACATCAGTGTAAAATACTTAGAATCTCTTAAACAGCACACAAAGGCCCAGCAAGAGAAAGCAGGAGGGGAGACAGTGTGGGAGCCTTCCCACAGATTTCTAGTGGGAGAAATCTAACTGACTCCAACTTGCTGACAGAAGTTGAGTTTCTACACCAATCACGTCACAGAGTCATTCTCTGCATCAAGAGGGAGGAACTCCAGGTTTTCTGCAATTTTGAATGCCCAAACCGTCTTTGCATTGACCCTGTCCCACTTTCTGTTTCTCCTGCTGGGTTGTTAAAAAGCACTCAGTCCAATGCATTAGCAGTTCTATCACAGCATGAGAGATAGGACCACTACTATTGTTTTAAGTTACCTTGATTTGGCTATTGTATTTCCACATCCTAGATATACATTCTATCCCATTCCCCTCTAGAAGAATCTTTAGAAGTATGTGGAAAACAAAGCAACTTGAACAAAAATAAAGCATTAAGCCAAGCCGTGCTTCCAAACTATAATCTATTTTGAGAGCACAGAATAATCCAACACCTCTTGCCCCATTCCTCTAAGCACCTCTTCTCCTTCCACATTTACTTTAATCTGCCTCTTCGACAGGGTATCACATTCTTACTCAAAAGCAAATGAAAAAGAGTTATTATTTCTAACTATTTTCACTGGAACAGTAGTGTAAGACCATCTATCTTGAAGGTATGGTGAATTAAGTGAACTAATCTGAAGCAGCACCTGTCACATTCTATTTCATAAAACGGATTTGCTCTCTATTCCCACAGAAATCCTGGGCTTCTTAGCGTTGGCCTGGCATCTCATTCTTTCCTACAAAACTGCTACTTTAAAGTTTCCTATTATGAGCACTTCCTTATCTTTCTAGCTGGGCAAATAAATTATATAAGCGACATGGTGCTAATGTGCAAAGTGTTGTCTAATCTAACCTGGAAAGCTGTTGACTGCTCAAAACTCAAAATGCTTCTGAAACCATCACACTGGGTAATGCCCTTTCATATTCTTCATTGTTAAATAGCCCTGCACTAATGATAAATGATGAGGCTCAAGGATCTCTAAACCATATTCAGAAATATGATGGCCTTTGCACATGCATAAAAAAAAAACCAACAACAAAACACTTTAATAATCACATCAGAAGTTTGAGGCCTTAGCAAGAAAGTTTTTATCCAAATTCTATTCCTATTTAAAATTTTTATTTCAACAGACATTTACTGACCACTTAATGTGCTACGTACCAGGTGGAAATGGTATGTGCTGCTCAAGTACCTATTTTTGTGTCAAATTTTATTTGACTCCTCAACAACCTAGAAAATTAGCATAATTTTTTCACACACAGCAAAGATGATCTGGAGAGAATAAGTAACTTGCTATTGCACAATTTCTTTTTGGGGGAGTGTGTGTGGGAAGCTTGGACCATACTCCATAGTCAGTGCTTAGGAGCTATTCCTGGCTTGCTGCTTGGGAAGATCAACCTTGGCTGTACTAAAGGGATCACATGCAACACTGGGATAAAACCTGGGTCTCCTCCATGCATTGTAGCATACCGACCTATTTAAACTTCCACCAAAATGCTTTTATTAATAGAGGAAAGCTGGGTGGATCAGCAGTTATGTTTAAAACACCATTTTCATTTGCAGGCCTTTGATCCTTAGTAGAATGAACACTTTTTCCTACCTACACTAAAATCCTTTGAACCACTAACTTTATGGAGTTTAGAGGGTAGTGGTATTGCAATGATTAATTTGTTGCATCTTTTCAATTCATGGTTAGGCTAAACTGAGAAGACTAAAATTTCAACTTACTCCTGAAAAAGAACAGAAACATAAGGTGTAACTTTTACTCACTGCCAGGATCTACATGCATCAGTGGTTAAGATGCTTTCTGTCACATGGACTTTAGATTTCATTATTTTTAGTAACTCCGTAATCTACATATCTTTGATAATAACCATTCCTACTCTGACAGACCTACATACAACAAGCAATTCTATCGAAAACTTATTCTGAAGCGTTTAAAAACCCATTTCTACACCCTTAATCATAATTATCAGAGTCCCAAACTTCTGAGGGTAACAATAGTTCAGCCATGCCACTGAGTAGATGATAAACAAATAGACAAATGAAAATGGACTGCATGAATATCAGATCCAAGCAGAAGAAAACAAGGACGAGGAAGGAGTAAAGGTGTTACACACAAAGAGCCAAGCAGGGCGTACTCAGAAATCGGGTCCTCCTGCCACCAGGTTTGAATGTCACCTGCTCAGATGCACAGTTAAACTTCGCACAGCCTGTGAGAGGGGAAAAACAGGGAAGAACAGAGAGAGAAGAGACAGAACACAGCTACAAGATGTTAGAAACTTGAGGCTGAAGTGGTGAAATGCACTAAGATGGCACACGGAAGAGTAAGCTTCTAGGGAAAGGTCAGCTGTGTCACACAAGAAATATTAGGCCTCATTTCCCTCCAGCTACAAAATTTCGGAACCCTTCTCAATGGGACTAATACCATCTGATCCTATTAGACAAGAACACTCACTTGTGAAGAGACAACATTACTTCTCTGATATTCTAACTTCTAGGATATGGTGGCAAAGCACCTAACCAGTTATCTGTATTTGCTTTCATTTTGATCTGCCCAGATTACTTTCACTCTTGCTCTAATGTTACTAGAAGCTCTTCCTTCTATACTAATGTTGGCGACACAAATGCATTAAATTTGGGAAACTGCTAAAACTCCTGTGAATTTGGTCCAAAAATCTGTTCGGTATTAAAAATCTAGTTCCAAAATGAGTCACTAAGTTCTCCTATATGTCACGGATATAACCTCTTGTAATTTCTTGATAACTGTAATTTTACCCGATGGAAGAAACGAGCCAATCTAATCTAATCACTGTCCAAGATATACAGACTGTGTACTGCTCAGCCGCTCTTCCACCCCACCTCAACTTTGTCACAGTTACGGCAACACTTCCCATTTCCGCAAGATATTGGTTGCTTTCATTTCTTACCTTGACCTGGAGCAGAAAGGCTTGGTACTGAAATGGCACCGTCACTTGTGAAGGCTGAATAGAGGTTGTCACTAGAGGGAGATGGCTTAAGGGGCTGTAACAGCTGATTCTGCCCAGTCTCCGGGATGTTCCCAGGAGCATGGAGGGTCTGCTGGGGGTGTAAGACGGAAGTTGCACTCTGGCCAGACAGGTTACCTGTCCAAAAATTAAGGTGTCGTGAGAATATAAACTGAAATATGCACGGCTTCGCCACTGTACTTATTAAGTACCATTCTTATTTCTTTATTTGTACCATTGTACGAAGAGGCTAAAAGCTATAGATTTCAGGGCTACACCCGATGGAAGATCAAGTCTTCACTAACAGAAGGGAAATGAGTACTGACAGGCAATCAACGGAATAGGGCTAGAACAAACTATTCCAAAAGAACATTTTTGTTTATGAGGTGCTGGGTATCATACTTCCAAGATAAGTGTTCTTTCACTGAGATACGCCCCTGGCTCCTTCAAAATTCTTAACTTTTTGTTTTTGTTTTGGGGACACACATGGCGGTGCTCAGGGCTTACTACTGGCTCTTCACTCAGAAATCTACTCCTGGTGATGCTTATGGGGCCTTATGGGATGCTGGGAATTAAACCCAGGTCAGCAGCATGCAAGGCAGGAATGCTACCTGCTGTACTATTTCTCCTGCCCAAAAGATTTCTAACTCTAAAGCAACCTGAATGATTCACAAGACTAAGCCGAGTAAGAAAATTAAAGATGCAGTAACTTACTACTGTTGTCTTGGGGCCACACCAGTTTTGGTAGTGCACAGGGATTCTGTCTGGCTGGCTTGGGGGATCATATGGGATGCCAGGATTGGCCATGGCAAGGCAAGTACCCTCTCTGCTGTACTATCTCTCCAACCCCAAAGATGCAGTAAATTTTATTACCCAAGTTCTAAGAATACTTTATTTTACAATTTCTTGATTGCATTAAAAAAATCCCATAATAAAGTAACTGAGATGAATTATGATAAAACTAGATCTGTTAGGAAGGCAGTCTATCTAGTCCTAAAAAATGTTTATTAAAAAAACTATTTTTTAAATTAAATGATAGGAGAAAAGTGTGAACAGTCTCCCATATCCTAAATTACGTAGCCAAGTTTCCCATAATTGTGGAAACCAGGTTAGCAATCGGAGTACTGGCAAAAGCAGCTTCATGGTATGGAGGAACACACACCCCGTGGGGATGAGAGCCTGGGGCAATATGCAGCAGTGGTCAGGAGGACATGAAGTACTAGGGGTCAAACCCAGGGCCTCACACACGCTCAGCATGTGTGTTAATTCATGCAACTTGAAAAAAAAAATGATGTAAGGGCTAAAAAGACAGTTCCGTGGATAGGCTGGTCTAGATTTGATCACAAGTGTCTCATATAGTCTCCCGAGCCCTGCCAGGAGTAAATCCTAAGTGCAGAATAAGGAGTTACCTCTGAGCACCACAGGATGTGGCCCCAAACAAACAAAATATGATGTAACTGACTACAAAGTAATGGTAGGTGATGCTGAACTCACTAGTCCAATGACTTAAAATGGAGCAACTTCTCTGTTCCCTAGTATCCAGAACTGCAGTCTACTGAAAAATGTCAGAAGAATTTAACTCACAAAAAGGAGTTTAGGCTTCTAAAGCCTACAAGTTTCTAAAAGTTTCTAGACAGTCAGAGAGATAGTACAATGGGTATACTTTCTTGCATGTAGCTAATCTGTAGTCCAAAGCCCAAACCTAATCAATCAAACCAATATAACTTCCAAAGAATACAGAGCAGCTATAAAATTTGCACCTGTTCTCCAACATATTTATATTGAATGTGAAAAGCAAATATTAGATATAAACTTCTTTCAGCTTTCTCCATTCTTAAACTAATTACTTGTTAACAGTACCATAATTTCACCAGAGCAAAATCTATCACAATTAAAAGATAACCCATAATTTATTATAAAAGACTGACTTAGTATTTCTTTGATTAAAGCCACTAATAAGTTATTTCAAAATAAATAAAAACTTTAATTAAGAAAAATCATTGAGGTTTTGGCAGAAATCCCTCCAGATTTAAGTTAAAATTTCGAATTTCAAAATCGCGTGGCCACTACTTCAGCTAAGTAATATCGTATGTTATTCTTAACCAGCAATAGAAAACAAATTGTCTACCGTTGCCTTTTCTGAGTGTTGGGGTAAAATCCCAAATAATAATGGTGGGCCTGGTGTATTGAATGTGATCAAACTAGAAAGAGAGTAATGTAGAAATCATCTGCCCCACAGGTAGGGGGAGGGTGTGAGATGGGGTTATACTGGGTTTTTTGGTGGTGGAGAATGGGCACTGGTGAAGGTACAGGTGTTTGATTGTACGACCGAGACTTAAATCCAAAAGCTTTGTAACTGCTCTCATGGTGATTCAATAAATAAAACTATATAAAAAAAAAGTAAGGTGGAGTTCATGCCCAATTCAATCAGCTAATCAGTGGCTGAATAAATAGCAGAGAGCCTGGCAAGCTACCACAGAGTATCTCGCCCGCTCGGCAAAGCCTGAAGCTACCCGTGACGTATTCTATATGCTAAACACAGTAATGAGTCTCACAATGGAGACTTGACTGGGCCCGCTCAAGCAAACTGATGAACAATGGGAGGACAGTAACATTAAAAAAAAAAAAAATCATTAAACACCCAAATATCTATGTGAAACAAACATTTATACCAGCTGTGTTTATGACCAATTCATCCATTAAATCCATTAAGAGGAAGAAGTTACCTGCACTGAGAAAAAAGTCTTTTTTTTTTTTTTGGTGGGTAGGAGCACACTTAGCTGTACTCAGGTACTCAGGGATTACTCCTGGCTCTGCACTTAGGAATAAGTCCTGGCATTGCTTGGGGACCATATGGGATGCCAGAGATGGAATGGAACCCATATCTATCGCGTCCAAGACAATGCCCTCCCCAGTGTGGCTGCCTAAAATGCTTTTTTTATATTAGAGAAAATTGCTTTTCCTCCACCTGTTCAAGAATTTGATAAAATGTTAATTATTTGAATTATCAGGCAATTTAATGTTTACTCCTTGTGAACAACTATAAGGACTCTGAGTACATAGCTATATAGATTTATAATGGAGTACACCAGTGGATTCACACAGTTACTTTAGCAGACTAAGTAAGAAGTACTATAAAATTGGGGGAAGGGGAAGGGAGTCAAAGAAAAAAGAGTACTAGTATTAGGAATGTCTGAAAGTCGGTAGCACTGTCCTCCCGTTGTTCATTGATTTGCTCGAGTGGGCACCAGTAACATCTCACAACAAATTGTGGAACTTGTTTCTGTCTTTGGCCTATCGAATATGTCATGGGTAGCTTGCCAGGCTTTGCCGTGCCTCTTATAATTTAATAAAAATAACAAGAAGTTCAACAGATTATAAAACTGAAAGCAAAAACTAAAGTCAAGATATTCACGGCTAACCTAGTCCAGGGTTTTTTTTACCTGAAAGCTGGGGACTTTTATTCCCCAAGGAACTGCTACGACTAGATTTGCTGCCTTTGTTTTTAGTTGGTCGCCTTCTTCTCCCGGAAAGTGGGGCAGCTGGGGGAATAATGACAGCAGGTGGAACTTTGCCCAGTTTGGTATACAAAGATTCAATTTCATGTTTCTGGCGACTCTGCAGGTCTTGAATCTCTTTAAGATGTCTATAAAGATAAAAAACATTATTTAAAAATATGTTCATCTTTGTTCAAAAAAGAATTAACAACAAATACTTTGACCTTCATGCAAGATGTATCTACTTAAAATGTTTTCCCTAACTATATCTGTTTCATTTCTAAGACCTTGAGATTGTTAATTATCAACTCATCTCATTAGCCTATATTATGCAACTCAAATTCCAACAAGTTCCTAGTCAACAATAAGTGACTGATGAACTGTTAGAAGAAAAACATTTCCTAACTTTGAGGTTACATGATTTGCTCCTCTGTCAAACATGACTAACAAAATCTACTAACATAATCTTTTATCTTAGTGCCTTTACTAAAACCATACAGTAGACTAGTAAATAGTTAAGATTGGTAATAATTAAACAGTGGTATGGGGGGGGGGGAATGGACTTGGTAGTGGGTGGTTTGGGTCACACTTGGCTGTTCTCAGGGCTTTCTTTTTGACTCAGAGCCCAAGAGACTACATAGAGTTCTAAGGATTAAGCCTGGATCAGTCACAGGCAAGGCAAGTACCCCACACATTGTACTATCTCTCAATCCCCAGAAATGCTATTGCACTGTAGCACTGTCCTCTCATTGTTCATCGATTTGCTTGAGCAGGCACCAGTAACGTCTCCATTGTGAGACTTGTCGTTACTGTTTTTTGCATATCAAATATGCCACGGGGAGCTTGCCAGGCTCTGCCGTGTGGGCAGGATACTCTCGGTAGCTTGCCGGGCTCTCTGAGAGGGATGGAGGATCGATCCCGGGTCAGCCACGTGCAAGGCAAACGCCCATAATGATAATGTATTAGTATATTGAAGTTTATATAATCAAAAATGTTCTGAATAAATTATCTATGTCAAAATGCTCTGCATTCAACTCTTAAAAGGTCAAGAATCGTTAAGAACTGGGGCTGGAGTAATACCAAATCAGGTTTCGCGATTCCTTGCACGCGTTCAATTCCCAGCATCCCATATGGTCCCCAGAGCACCACCAGGAGTAATTCCTGAGTGCATGAGCCAGGAGTAACCACTGTGCATTGCTGAGTGTGACCCAAAAAGAAAAGAGAAAAAAAAAGAATCCAGAGTTCCAAACCACTGCCAAGTTCCTCTCACTGAGCTTCCTAGGATGCCTGCCCTAGGCCAATAAATTGCTTAAAAATAAATAAAACACTGTCACTGTCCTCCCATTGCTCATCGACTTGCTTGAGTGGGTCCAGTAATGCCTCCATTGTGACACCTGTTACTGTTTTTGGCATATCGAATACGTCACGGGCAGCTTGCCAGGCTTTGCCGTGCGAGCAAGATACTCTCAGTAGCTTGCCGGGCTCTCCGAGAGGGGTGGAGGAATCAAGCCTGGGTCAGTTGGGTTGGGTTGGCTGAGTGCACGGCAAACACGGTACCCGCTGTGCTACTGCTCCAGCCCAAATAAATACATAAATAAATAAGAATCAGTAAGAACTGTATTCTAAGAACTAACTTTTGCATACCACACCCACTTTTTTTTACTCGTGGGGGCCACACCGATAATGATGGTGGGGGGGGGGGGGTCCATGTGGTGCTGGGTATCAAACCCAGGGCCTCAGCGCACATGCGGAGCATGTGTACATCACTTGTTTCACATCTCTGGCACTCATCCTAAAAGAAGTAAAATTTAAGCCTATCACAGTGACAAGAATGAATATTGATCTAGGTGCCAGGAACAACATCTTATTTTCTGCCATTAATCTTACATAGGAAGAATCGTACTTACTTTTCTCTTAGTTGTCGCAGTTCTAATTTTAAGTCTTCATCTTCGATGTCTGACTCGTTGTCACTACTCATGTAAGAGGAATTGAATGAATTACTAAGGCTTTGACTTAGGTTCTGGATAGGAAGGCTCTTTGAGAGTACTTGAGGAGGCGAGTGTGGACTGCCTGAACCATCATCCACATCTCTACTTAGAAAAGCTGTTTCTAGGTCAGAAGATGGTCCGTTCAGATGCGCAGGATCTGAGAGTTCCGACTTTTCTTTCTTTGGTATCACAGCAGGAAGGGCAGTTTGTTCCAAATCCACAGACGGAGATGTCACTGGTACCTCTTTCTTGGCCTCACCAACCTTATCTTCCGTTCTTGATATAGAGAAACGACCTACCTTGTTTGCTGTAGTTGTCACCTGGAATCGTCCAACCTTGGTGGGTTGTCCAGTTTCTGTCTTTGTTTCCGAGGCAGAGATTTTGTGGGCACTATCTGGCATATCTGAAGCAATGTGGATGGTTAACCCATTAGGCTCTGGTTTTACCAGGGTACTCTCTGGACTACTACTTGATAGTACTGAGGACTCTGAAGTGCTGGATTCAAAGTGAACAGACTTTGTATCTTCTGGCTTACTTTTACCCCCTTTCTGTGTGTCATCCATAGTGACTGAAACCTGAAGGAAAGAAATCAAAGCGGGGTTAAGTTTGCAATATTAAAAGTTTAGCATTAATCATAAAAAAAGCTGAAATATCAGTGCTTAAGCTGATTTGTCTGCTTACATATCCTCTTCATTTTTTAACTGTGAAAATATATTGAAGACCATAATAAAGAACTTATCTTCATTGAGCTGCAGAATTTGAAGGGGCTGGTTAAGCTTACCAAGTAAGTTAATTTCATTACGCACAGGACTCAGATTCATGTCACAGTAAAAATGATTAGCTCACGGAATCTTTAAGATTGTTTATGACTACAAAAAACCACTGATTAAACTTAATAAATGCTAAATGCTAAGAATCAAAATATGTTAAAGAGTCAACCTAACAATTAGAAGTAACAAAGGTTGTTGATGGACAGTATTAGGCAATGGTAAAGGTGCAGTAGCTTTATCTATCACTACCATAAATGTTAATACTAGTATAACCATCTTACCTACTTAAAAAATAAACAAACACCTAAATGATACTAAAGAGAGGTTAAGATCCGTATCCTACTTCATTCATCTGGGCTGGAGCGATAGCACAGCGGGTGGGCATCTGCCTTGCACGCAGCCAACATGGCCGACCCGAGTTCGATTCCTCCGCCCCTCTCGGAGAGCCCGGCAAGCTACCGAGAGTATTCGATATGCCAGACACAGTAACAACAAAGTCTCCAATGGAGACGTTACTGGGCCCGCTCGAGCAAATCGATGATCAACGGGAGGGCCTTTACTTCATTCATCTATTATTAATGAAAATGCAGTCCAGCAACAAGAAGGACTGACTTCCAATTTTGGCACGATGTATGAAGGAACAGAAACCATTCACTCAGGAAAATGAAATGATGTGTTATCACTTGATAGCGACTCTGTATTTTCACTTCAGAAGTTAATTCTAAGAAAGTTACTCTAAATATTCAAAAACACTGGGACAGAAAGATGCTCACTTTTTGTTTTATTACGCTGAAAACAGCAGAAACAAGTAACAATGGAAATGGAATTAAATCAACTGCTGACAAGAAAAGAAATAAGGCATTCACTGGAGAAGCAGGGTCAGTTAGAGAGAGACATGTGTACAGAGGAAAAGGAAGAGGAAAAATATACTTCCAAGAAGTAATCTTATAGAGTGATGGTGGTGCTGGTGATAAAAGAGGATGGGTCGATAGTATGAAACTGATCTTTTAAATATCCTGTATTTTCTTTAAACGCTAATGTTTGTTAGAGGGAGAAATGATAGTGCTTTAAAAAAAAAAGAAATATATCCTTGGATTAGCAAGTATGTCCAAAAGGCATTTTTCCCTCCAAAAATGAAGTATGGGGAGAAACTGTCTTACCTGGAATCGCCCTGTCTGAAAAACACCAGTTCCTGAACTGGTTGCAAGGACAGAACCTTCTGAAACTTGAGAAACTGAAACAAAAACATGCAGAAACACAAGTTAAACTAGCATCTCTTTTTAGTTAGCTTCTTTTCCCTTTGGCCAGAATACAGCAGAGAAGAAACGATATAAAACATGAGAAAAATCACAGAGGCAAGGGAAATTTTCTCATCTGCCTCTCCTTTTAGTCTCTGACCTAGAAGTTACTGTCTGTTCTCTTACTAGATAACTTTAGTATGAAAAGAATATATTACTTGTGAGGAACTGAAAGTCTGAAATTTATCAATTCTCTACCCTTTCTTATATGTGTATGTACATATGTGTATACACACACACATATATACACAGCACTGTTTAAAATAATAAAACGTTGCCTATAAATAAAACTGTAACATTAAAAACACTGTCAGATAGTATTTAAAAACCAAAAACACCAAACTGAGATATAATATGTATTAAGAAGGTGACTTATCGATTCTTTAGTTCATAGATAAGATTTTTAATGGATGGGTGTGTGTGTGTGTGTGTATGCGCATGCGTGCGTAATTTATACATAGGGGTTATCCTGGGGGGCCACCAGGACTATAGTAGTGATGTAGTTGGGGAAGGGGCAATATGGTGTCAAGATCAAACTCAGGCCCTTGTAAATGTTGTCATGTGCTCTGCTATTTGAGTTATCTTCCTGGTTCTTTAATCAAGGACATGAAAGATGATTTAAAAATGATAACAGCTATGAGAAACTGAGTCAGGGAATATTTTAGCAAAATAAACCAGGTATCAAAATCATTGGTAAGTTTTTTAAAAAATTTTTTAATGTATCACTGATAAGTTTTTAATAGCTGTATTTCCTTCTTTCTGGGGATAATCATTTGTTCCAAGTTCTTTCTCAAAATACTTTTAAGTATCAGCATTTTCTTTTATACAACAAGTTAATAACTGATTTTATATTTCAATTGAAGTTCTATCTTATTTTATAAAAAAGTAACATTCCCCCCTTCCCCCCAATAATTGGTGTTTCTAACAGAGGCAGACTGGGGTGGGAGGCAAAAGGGGTGGGACTGGAGGTGTGGGTGTGGAATGGTGGGGAAGGGGTGCAGTAACATTGGTGGAGGAAAGTAGAAACTGGTAAAGGAACTGGAGTGGAAACACTGTATGTCTGGAAAACAATCATATTACTTTGCAATTTCAACGGGATTAAATAAATTAAAAAAAATGGACACAAAATCAATACACATTAAACAAGTTCTTGAAAGTGGTTTCAAACATACCTATACTCTCACGTGTGTTTCTCTGAAATAGGAATCTCTATAATCAGTTAAAGGAAGGCCTGGAAACAGCAATATAGACAAGAATGCTCACCGTCCTTCTGAGGCTGACCCCCGGTTTCCACAACTGCTGTTGGAGCCACCACCGGCACAGGCTGCAAAACAAGGGATTTAGCTTTAGTCACTCTCAAATACATCCCACCTCACTGGTGGCCTCATATGTGGCCAGGGTATTCTCTAAGCTACCGAGCCACCTTCAGCACTATCTTAGTAGAGTTCCCTGTTAACAGCAGAGTTCGAACTGGCCCAGTGCTTGGGGTAGGAACTGAGGTTTGATCTTATGTATTAATGTATTAAGCTGCAGAGTCATCTTTTGGGCTCTTCTAGAGATTCACGACAGGAAAACTATTTCCATCACCTTAGTGCATGCAGCACCACTGGGATTTGAACTTCTGCTTGGCAAGTAAGTACTTTTTAAGCCACCGAGACATCTTATGGGCTCCTACTTTAAAGTTTTTGTATTGATACTGCTACCCCGACCTTTGTAAAACAAAGAAAAGAAAAAGCCAAACAGACGTGAAATACTAATGTCCAAACTAATTTGTTTTTCCTTTTAAATACATGTGCTGGGGATTGAATTCAGCGCCTCACACATAAACTATGCCATTTGTCATTGAGTCACACCACCAACTCAAGAAAGATAACTTCTTGTTAGAAGAAAATTGAGTCTTAACCCTTTGTATCACTTTAACTATTCTCTGAATATTTAGAGGTTTTTCACCCCTCAGAGTTGAATTTTAATCAGAACACGTTCTGTCACACGCCTAAATGAGTTATCTAAAATTTTTAGTAGTACTGGAGGAGCCAGAATAATAGTACGGCATGCAGGACGCTTGCTTTGCAAGCAGCTGACACAGGTACAATCCCTGGTAATCTGTATGGTCCTGAGCCCACCAGGAGTGATTCCCAAACAGGGAGCCAGAAGCCCTAAGAATGGCTGGGTGTGGCACAAAAACAAAACAAAACTGTACTGGTGGAGGGATAGGGTTATGGGGTGGTGGAACTAGAGGTTGGAACGTTATATGCCTGAACTGAAACCAATTAAAAATAACTTTGTAAACCACAGAGTCTAAATAAATAAAAAACCCAAAAAAACAAAAAACCTTTTTAAGTAGTACCTACTCTAAAGCATAAATACAACATTCACAGGATTAATCTGAGGAACAATTCTAACCAGAGGAAACATAAGAAATTATCTTTCAAATATAAAAAAAATAAAATAAATAAAAACATATATCTATATATATGGAGTCATCTTTTGGGCTCTTCTGGAGATTTTATATATATATAAATAAAATAAATTAAAAAATCTATATACGATATATTTTATATATCTATATATATATCTTTTTATATACCTAAATATATATCTCTTTTATCTATCTCTCTATATCTATCTATCTATCTATCTAATTGTAACTTTACATTGCTAAATTTCTGGGTCCACGTTAAACTTTCATTAGTCTATCTCACTTCTATTGGCTGGAATGAAGGCTTTAAATAGGTATTATGGCATCAAAAATGGCCCAGGTTGCCATTTCTTTGTTTTTGTTTCTTTGGAGAGTCACATCCCATTGATGACTGAATTGGTGCTCAGAGACAATTCTCCACACCGTACACGGAGGGCACTTCTGGCGGTATTGGGGACTGACTATCATCCTCCCAAAAGCAAAATTCTTGGAGGCACCTCCCTGCCCCCAGATTACCATTATGTCCCAGAAATATGCCTTTGGGTTATGTAAAGATTTTATCAAGATTTTCAAACTTACACCAACTGCAGATGTCACCGCAATAGACTCTGGACTCAGTGTTCTTCTCAATTGAGTATCAAGATCTTCCAGAGGTTGCTGGGACTGAATGAAAACAATTTATTGGTAAGCATGGGTCCAGCATATTCATAGTTGTCGTATGCACACGCACACACATGTATATATAATTTATATATGTATAAATAATTTATAGAGGACATAGTTTTATGCTTTAGTTTTATACAATATAACATTTGTTACTCCTGGTTCTGCTCTCAGGAACTAATTACTCCTGGTGGTGGTGGTGGGGAGGGGTGGGGGACCACATGGTATGTGAAGATCAAGTAATTTTTACAATTCGTATGTTGAGGGGCTGGCTGATGCTTCAGCCCCTCAGTATACAAAATTTTCAACTTAGACAAACTACTTGAGTTACCTGTTTCAAAAATTTGTCAATATTTCAAACCTTAATGAAATTCAATTACATCAATGCTTTTAGTTTTAAAATTTTTTTCTTTTTGCCTTCTATTTATATTATATACAGTGATAGAAAAGTTATCTATTTGATTTCTCTTTAAAAATATATCTTGCTCTCAGTATCTGCACTGCAAACCATAATGCCCAGAAGTAGAGAGATTATGGGGAGTACTGTCTGCCATGGAGGCAGGAGGAAGGTGGGAAAGGGGGGTATGCCAGAGATATTGGTGGTGGGGAATGTGCACTGGTGGAGGGGTGGGTGTTTGATCACTGTGTGATTGTAACCCAAACATGAAAGCTTGTAACTATCTCACGGTGATTCAATAAAAAAATATATAGAGATATATTTTATATATCTCTATATATCTTTTTATATGCCACTATATTTATTTTATCTACATCTATCTATCTATCTATCTATCTATCTATCTATCTATCTATCTATATCCTGGGTTGGAGCCAGAGCGACAGTATAGCGCTTGCCCTGCACACTGGCAACCCGAGTTCAATCCCTGGCATCCCATATGGTCCCCTGAACACCACTAGGAGTAATTCCTGGTGAATTCAAAGCCAGGAATAAATTACCTGAGTATTGCTGGGTACAACCCAAAAAGAAAAAAAAAAGGGTGTGTGTGTGTGTGTGTGTGTGTGTGTGTGTGTGTGTGTGTGTGTATATATATATAAATAGATTCTAGACCAGAGAGATCCAGATTCAGGGGTTAAGAAGCATGCCTGCACCCTGATTAAATCTTACGTATGCTCTTTGAAGCCTTGCACTGAACTGCCACTGGCCTGGTTGCTCGGGGGAGCTCCAGGGTCTTTAGAGTACTCCCCACCCCCCACCAATACTTATATATTGATAAATTAATTATATATCACACTATGTTACCTATTTTCTTTTTCGTCTTTTATACATTCTTATTTGCTCGAGCGGGCCCAGTAACGTCTCCATTGGAGACTTTGTTGTTACTGTGTTTGGCATATCAAATATGTCATGGGGAGCACAGCGGGTAGGGCGTTTGCCTTGCACGCAGCCAACATGGCCGACCCGAGTTCGATTCCTCCACCCCTCTCGGAGAGCCCGGCAAGCTACCGAGAGGATCTCGCCCGCACGGCAGAGCCTGGCAAGCTCCCCGTGACATATTCAATATGCCAGACACAGTAACAACAAAGTCTCCAATGGAGACGTTACTGGGCCCACTCGAGCAAACCGATGATCAACGGGAGGGCCTTTACTTACTTTACTATACATTTTTATAAAATATGATTTCTATAAATAAAATATGGCATCAAATATGCTGTTAACACTAAGATACAAAAGGATAGTCCCAACAATTTATACCTTTTGATTACTTTTTTTTCAGGGCATAGGTGGCAGTGTTCAGGAACTATTCCTGGTGTTCAGGGTGTAGGGGTTTGTATCCGTGCCTCTCACATGCAAAGCATCCATACGAGCCCTTTGAATTATCTTTCTGGCCTCAATCTACACTTCTTATGCCCTATAGATGACAGCAAGGAGGAACTGCAGGTATGAGTAGTCTATCTTCTTAATCAGTCCTTATTACTAGTTACCATACCTTTTACCATTCATTATAGTCCTGATTCCAGTGATCTACTTTGGCTTTTATCTACCACAGCATTCATTTACCTCTGTTCTGTTCTGTGTACTTGCCACTTATCCCTCACCTTGTGAAGTATCTTTTTTTTCCTTTTTTCTAAGCAGGTAGGGGAGTGACACCTACTGGTGCTCAAGACTTAGTCCTCGCTCTGTGTTTAGGGATCATTCCTGATGGGACTTAGGGGACCATATGGGATGCCAGGGATGGAACCTGGGTCAACCACGTTCAAGGCAAGCGCCCAACCCACTGTACTATCATCACTTCAGTCCCCTGGAAGAGATCTTATTGTAACCACACTTTTGAATTCTCTTTATCTCAAATACATGTTTTTAGTGAGAAAGTAAGTTTAAATCTCCTAATTCACAGATTTTCACAAAGCAATTTGTAAAAGAATTGAGTTGGAGAACTAATACAGTAGGTAAGGCCTTGCACACAGTCTACCTGGATTGGCTCTCTGGCAGTAGTAATAGAACCAGGAATAAGCCCTGACCAACACCAAATGTGGACCAAAACCAAACCAAACTGGCAGCTGATCAAGAGGGTTCTCTTTTGGAGTCATTATTAAGTCAAGTTCTGTAAATGGTGTCCTATACACTTGAGATTAAAAATGCAGGGATAGTTCAAATCTCTGAAGTAAGCAATTTACCATGTTTTCTTTCTGTATGATTCTAAAACAAATTTCTAACTTAATTTTCACATTTACTATCTTGTCTCACATTGAAAATTTTTTCAGTTAAAATAGATTTGTAACAAGTACTTTTGTATTGGGAATTCAATTGTGTTGTGAAGGTGGGATATGGTAGGAAAGACAAATAACTTTAATATTGCAGGTAATTCTACCATACTTCATCAAATGTACTGAACTTAGTATGAGACAGAAATTTCACATTCATATCGTTGGTAATAACCTATGTTTTAATAATTACAAGTGTCTTACCTACTGTATTATTATAACACAGGTTATTAATTAAAATAATTAAATAACCTAGCCTATGTTAGCTAGGCTGAGAGGTATTGCATCTAAAGGCATATATATTTCATAAGTCATAATCTTATACTATGCCCACCTATAAGCAAAAAATACTTCATAATGTGGTCATAAAAGAAATGTCAAGTTTTCAAGAGAAAAAAATGGTTGCACTGATTTCACAGAGTAAGGCCATGCTAATTAACAGTGTTGTACCCTTTCCTAAAATGCTTTCAGCTAATTTTAATAAAAAGTTTTATTTACATAATGACTTAGAACCTACAAAAGTGTAAAATTCAAGTTTCCTGTTTTCTTCACTCTAAAAGTTCACTATTCTACAAGTGCTGAAAACCAAAGAGTTAGTGCCAGAAGGATAGTACAGCAGGTAGGGCGCTCGTTTTGCATGCAGGCAATTTGGGCTAAACACCCAGCACCCTATATGGTCCCCTGACACCCACCAGGAGTAAGCCCTACGTACTGCTGGCTGGAGCCCTCAAACAAAACAACAAAAACCTAAAGAGCTACAGTTGTGTGGCAAGTGTCAACTTCATTATTTTCTTCCTTCATGGGGCATGAAAAAAATATTAATACGAAACATTTTTGAGAGGACTTAAAGCAGTATCACAAACAAAAGAAATAAAGCTTCTTAAGTAAAATCAGGGACACTTGTTACATTGTTATAAGAGAGGGTGATTATTAAGTCAAAACTAAGAGAAAGAAGTCAATATCATGCAATGAAGAATTTAAATAAGTTTTGTCAAAGAAGATAGGGCATGAGTAGAAATCTGCCGAAGCTTAAGGCACCTGAGTTAGTGAAGGTCCTGGAAAAGGTGGCAGCTGCTCGCTGGGTGGGGCACCAGCTGAAGGCTCAGGACCTACAGGCAGCACCTATGGACAATGAAGGGAAATTCAAGTCCATGAAACACTAAGAATAAATACTGCAAACCTAAGAAGAAATCAACCCATCTGAATGCATAAGTTTAAGACAAATATCTAATGAAGGTGTCTGGGCTACATTCTAAAGTCTGTCTTAAAGGGAAATTAAAGCAAGTATTACTATAGGGTTAATATTGCATAAAATAAAAGAGTAAAATTCAGTAAAAAGTTATCCCTAAGAAAAATGAAGAGAACAAGGTGATATGGATAAGTTGATAAGCCCAGTCCAAGATAGTCCTGAGTCAGTTATATGGTGCAGTATTAACTGTTATCACTATATAATTTTCCAGAAAAATTTTCCAGCAAAAGGATTTAGCTCCCTTTTGGGAACCATATTTCTTCAGCGTGTAATAATTAGGAAGAAATACTAGTAGTTTACTTGATTATTATATAGGTAAACTAGTAATAGATTAAAAATAATTATATAATTTGAAAATTATACAGCATAATTAGTCAAAAATCCGGCCAAATTAAAAAAAAATCCCATAGATCTTTATGCATAATCTACATAGATCCTAAACTAACCTTCAATCAATGTAACATAGCTACTATAAGGTAAGCATCTATATAACGTTTCTAATTTATAAGGCTAATTTGATGGCTGGTTCTCCCTCTCGGCAAGCTACCGAGAGTATCCTGTCCACATGGCAGAGCCTGGCAAGCTCCCCGTGGTGTTTTGATATGCCAAAAACAGTAACAATAATGGGTCTCATTCCCTTGACCCTAAAAGAGCCTTCGATGCGGCACCGTTGGGAAGGGCGAGTAAAGAGAGGCTGCTAAAATCTCAGGGCTAGGACGAATGGAGATGTTACTGGTGCCCGCTCGAGCAAATCAACGAACAACGGGATGACAGTGATACAGTGAATTTGAAAGCTGAGAGAAAAGAGTGATCATATTTGTCAAATTATTTCAAAGCAAGAATCTTACCGGAGTCTTAGTTAAAGGTGGCTTTGATGGTGCAGTTCCAGGTTTCACTCCTGCTGCAGTGCTGACTGAGGCTGAAATGTAGCTGACTGGCGTAGAAACTTGTCCAGGTGTGACCGCTGGTATAACCGACAAACCAGGTGTTCCTACTTGCAAACTGGTAGGTGGTAAACAAGTACTTGTAGTGGAAGTCATGAGTTTGCTTGGTGCAACAGCAGTTGTTGGTATGCCTGGTGGGACTGCGGTCTCTACCACCAGTGACGTCTCCAGAGACACAGAGGCATGTTGAGCTCCAGATGAACTGTGTTCACTAAAGAGAGATCGTAGCTTTTCCTCTAGAGTCTTTATGTCATCGATACCAGGAGCTTTAGGTTGTGTATCAGCATCTATTTCAGGACAGTGAGTGTGAGGTTGGTTGGGCAGCAAAGCTGGCTGTGGCTGACTATGAATGAGTGTCTGCTGTACAGCAGGCACATTGGCAATCGGTTGTACCAAGGGTGGGATACTAGGGACCTGGGGTAATAAAGGTGTAGAAGTAGGTGCTGCTTGGGCAAGGACAGGAGTAGAAGATACTGCTGACGGGACAACCAAAGGGTGCAACCCACCAGGCTGAGAAACAGAACTAGATACTCCTGTTCCAGTGGAGGAAGAGGAAGATGATGCAGAAAGGGGTAAAGCCAATCCAGTTGCACTGCTATGAGATGTCTTATCTAGTGAGTGTGCACTAACCACCACCGTTTCAGCCAGAGTAGGAGCGGAGGTGCTGCTACTAAGGTGAAAGGATGGCTGTGAAACCACACCTGGGAACGGAGTAGTGGTAGAAACTGATGTCAGTGTGGCTACCCCAGTAGTGCTGCCTGTTGTCTGCTGAGATAATACAGGTGGAGGCTTAGCACCTGGGGTGGCAGCAATGCCCACCACAGAGGCTGAAGGTGAGGAAACTGGAATAGAGAAATTTCCTATACTGGAAACAATGCTTCCAGATATGGGAGCCTGAACTGACTGACACGTTGTCAATACAGACACAACTGTAGGTACTGTGGTGCTTGAAACCACACTGGAAAGTACTGGTGATTCAGATGCAGGTGGTATAGGGGGACCACTTGAAGTTACTATACTTGTGCCAGGGACAACCCCAGCAATCCCTTTTTCAGTGGGCACTGTACCCTCAGACTGAATTACTGATGGAGAGACATCACTAAGAGGGACTGGTACTGAAGGTATGGCTACTGCTGGGACTGCGACTCCAGAAACGTTACTCATGGAAGGAGGCGTTACTACTGGGAAAGTTGGTCCCGTGTGACTAAAATTGGGAGGTGCTGTACTGGGCCCTTCAGTTACTTGGGCATGTTTAAGTTCTGAAAAGGCCTGCTGTAAACTCAGGGATGAAGCAGAGTGAGAGAGGTTCATTCCAGCACCCTGAGCCGTAGTAGAGACAGCAACTGCAAAGGCAAACAAAAAAAATTCAGAATCAGATCATGTAAGAAGGGAAATTCAAATGACAACTTTAACCTTCCATTTTTGGATTACCCAAAAACTTAAAAACTCGCCCCCAAAAATGACTGCCTCTCAATTAGCATAATCAAACAGTAGTTTGATCCAAATCTGTCAACTTGTGTGAATAACTGAAGAATAAAACCATGAAGTGACTTTTTAATACAATCCAGTTTTCCACTCTTCTTGAGTTATGTCATTATTTGAACTACGGCCTGATGACAAGTTTCCAATTCACAGAGCTGCAGCAGGAGTTACGACAGTAGGCGGCAGAAACAAATCCTTACCTGTATCTGATACTTCACTGCTAAAAATTTTTGATTCTCGTAATCGACTTTCAGGCACAGGACTCACTATAAATCGTCTTCCAGCAGAATGAACAACTTGAGTTAAAGAGCTGGTAGGAATGCCTGGTAAAACAGAAAAGCCCCACTTCATTGCACTAATACAAATACAAAAACACACACAAGCTGCCAACATGGAGCTTCAAGACTTCATTATTAGCACACAACTTCGCAGGCCAAAGATGAATGCACGCAAGGAAAGAAAAGAAGTTCACCTATTTGCTGTGGCGGGGAAGATGCAGGTATTGGTTGTTTGAACTCTCCTTCCAATTTCTACAACAAACAAAAGTGATTCAACTTACTTTCAAAAGCAATTTCAATATAAAATCCAGCAGAACAAACCGCCACATACAAAGATAATATAAATAATTATCATAAGATATTCTGTATGGTAAACTTAGCATTGTAAAATTTAAATAAAACCTCAATGTGAAAAAGCTAAACTTACTCGTAATTTCAATATAAAATCAGGCAGAACAAACCGCCACATACAAAGATAATATAAATAATTATCATAAGACATTCTGTATGGTAAACTTAGCATTGTAAAATTTAAATAAAACCTCAATGTGAAAAAGCTAAACTTACTTGAGAACCTGAAAAGGCATAGTCATCCTTTCCCTGTAGACTTTCCAACCCCTGGTCACCCTCTGGTTCCACACTGACATCCTCACTGAGCATTTCATCAGCTTTTTCAATAATTTCTCGCACTTGGTCCACAAATGACTCTCTCTCTATTGCTAGAATAAAGTCATTGTTCACCTATAAAAAATAGTATATTATAAGTGTTTCTCAAGTTTTAAGACATTCAATTACTCCCTTTATGACTTCCGCCCTATCTCTATATTACCTACAATATTTATATTAACATGTAAGACATGAAAGCTTCAGTGCCTAATTAGGCCGTCCCTGATGAAAACATCTCTAAATCTTAAATTAGATGTAAGTCCAATTAAAAAGAAAATGTATCAAACATAACAAAATATTTATTTGCTTAGAGCACTGAATGTTAAGATCACATACGAAGGCAACATCTGAACTCAAGAAAAACGTACCATAATTGTTGCTATCTCCTCTGGGTTGTCACCATCTAAATCAAATTTGAATGTAACCATTTTTCGATTATGAGTCTCTAATTGACATTCTACTACACGGTCTCCTTTATTTGAAACCTATAAAGAAAAAAGAAAAGATTATTAAGATCTTGGCAGCAATAATAAACTTTTACTAAATTTGAGACTATATTGAAGGTTATCACTTGAACTTGGGTCTAATATTATCACTATTCCTTAGAGAACTGGGGCTTTGTCTCTTGGTAACAAGAAAAGCTAAAGAGGATGACTGGCTGGGGCCAGAAATGTAGCTTGGTGGTAGAGCAACTGCTTCTCAGATCTGGGGTGTAGGATTTGATCCCCAATAGTACCAGTGCCATTCCTACAAAAAATGGCTTTCGAAGTCACTGTTTTTTTTTTCCGTTTGGGTCACACCCAGCGTTGCATGGGGTTTACTCCTGGTGGTGCTTGGGGGACCATATGGAATGCTGGGAATTGAACCTGGGTTGGCCACATGCAAGGCAAGCGCCCTACCCACTGTGCTAATACTGCAGCCCCCTTGAGTCACTTATTGATCCCTCCACTAAGAGTGTAGAAGAAATGTAAAAATAATGCCTTATCACAGAAATACAGGTAATTGGTTGTTTTTTGGGGCCATGCCTGGCGACGCTCAGGGTTACTTCTGGCTCTGTGCCCAAGAGAATTACTTCTGGTGGTGCTCAGAGGGGTCAATATGGGACGCTGAGGATTGAAACAAATCAGCCATGTGAAAGCAAATGCCCTACTATATGCCTTACAAATGCCCTAACTGTACTATCTCTGGCCCTTTTAAATTTTTTAAATTTTGTTCCATTTGTGTGATTGGGACATTAATATTTTCATCAATATATTTAAGGAATTCCTCTGCCTCTCTCGGAGAGCCCGGCAAGTTACTGAGAGTATCTCGCTCGCACGGCAAAGCTTGGCAAGCTTTCCGTGACGTATTCAATATGCCAAATGCAGTAACAATAAGTCTCACAATGGAGACGCTACTGAGTCGCTCGAGCAAATTGATGAATAATGGGAGGACAGTGACAGTGATTTAAGGAATATTTAAGTACCAATTAATTATATAAAACCCACAAATTAACAATACTCACATTCAAAATTCTTAGTTTTGGACGTGAAGTCTTTTCATGTCGAGAGCGACTTCTTACGGATTTCCGATAATGCCGTTTAGTAGTTCTCCCCTCATGTCGTCCACTGGATGATGGGACATTCTCATTGCCATCACTCATACCAGAAGCAACATCTGAATGTGCACTTTAAAAAGAAAAGTTCAGTTTATGTGATGAGATTTAAATAGCTGACATTTTGGTATTTCTTTTTGGGATCTGGGTGGTACCTGATGGTGTGGTACCCAAGGTTTACATCTGTCTCTGTGCTCAGGGGCCAATCCGGATAGTGCTAGGGCGAACCATGTGGAATGTTGGAAAACAAATCAGGGTTGGACACATGCACAGCATGCATCCTAATCACTGTACTAACTCTCGGGCCACTGCATTTTGGAGTTTCATGCCACTCTGCCTACTAGTCAAGGAAGAGAATTTTACTTTTACATACCTGTCTATAGAAGAGGCCAATGTGGTAGGCTGAGCGGGTTGTGGCTGTGCTATTGGAACTGGCTCTGAAGAAACAACCTGAGAGACTCCCTGAGCACTCTGTGAATAAAAGGAAAAATCTCAGTCTTGGCAACAGGACATTTTCATTTCTTCATTCACCATCCCCAATATGCTACTCTCTTTTCTTCACCCCTCCCAAGTCCTAGAAGCACTAAATTTACTAATAATTATCAATAATCAGCATCCAGATATAGTGGCCTTAAAAACTTCTAAAGCTAGTCTCTGGTAGAGACTGCATGGTGTGGTATCAGCCAACAGAGCTGCCAGGCAGTGAGAAACTACAACTTGCCATGCAGCCAGCGTCTTACCAGAAATGTGCAAGAGGGCAGGCAGAGCAAAGTGCAATGGCTCAGATGTTTCTCCTAGGAGGGCAAAAATGGTCACACCAGGAGCACAGCAAGTAAGACACTCTTACGACTGCCAATGGCAAGAACTCGTGAAAGGACAAGAATAATGGCTAAAGAACTAGCTAGAGAAGTGAAGTGCTAATCAGGTTATTCTTTTCAAGACACACTCACTTCCCAACAGAACAGCCAGTGGCAACAAGGCCCCCACATTGGCATTTCATTCTGCTGTAAGAAAAAGTCATTCAGAAGTTAGTTTTGAAATAGTCTACACGTGAGCCTGAAACCAGGGGCATCTGTTTTTGCTCCCCTGTGTCATTTTAATCCCATTAGAACTATTTTTCCATACATAAACATGCAACAATTCCAGTTACCTCCAGAGCTGCTTGCTGGGAGGATGCTGTGGGGGCTTGTTGTGCTAAACTCACTGCTGGTTGGGATACTTGAACCTGTCCTCCTATACTGCCCACCGGAACCAAAAGGTTTGATTCCACAAATGGCTGCACCACTGTAGGAAAGTAACCTGGTGCAGCCAAAGCTTCTGTAGGCATGGGAGGGGATAGAACTGTAGAAGGGTTGCAAACAGAAGCCACGCTGGAAGAGGGAGCAATATTTGAATCTCCTGGGTATTGTGATGGCAGTCGAGGTGGGAAGCCCTGTGACAGAAACGAGGAAGGCGAGTTAGTGCAGGTTGGGTCATCAAATTAGCAAAACAGTTAGACACGAAAAGAAAAAATAAAGTGCATGGCAGAGAAGAATAGTAATCCATCTCTTTTGGATACTCTAAAAGTAATTTCAAAATGACTCTTGGAATAGCAAACAGGTTTCGGAAATAGAACTCTAAAATTTAAATGATCGTCTCCATATCTCTTCACTGAGATTATTTAAATAGGAGGATTAAATAAAATTTAAATAGTTCTAGGAAAACACGTTCTAGCTATTCTTAAGCAGGAGACTAGACCATTCAAAGTTTTGTTCATTCAAACCGTAGTGTAAGATGCTAACTTTATAAATGCAAGCCCTGAAGTTTTTTTATTGATTATTTTTATTTTATTATTTAGTATTTTTATTGATGACAACCATGTTTGCTACTCTATTCTACCTATAAGTAGTCTTATATCCTTTAATATTATAGTACTTAGCATTCAATCTGCTTTTACTGTATACTGAGAAAACTACTTTCTCACAGAGATATTTTGAGAAAATGAAAATGAATCATCGGATTCCTATTTCAGAACTTTACTGTTTGAACTTCTCCAGTTGAGATCAGCATCTTTTGTTATTTGCTGCTAGTTATCCTCAAATTCTGACAGGTTTTAAACCCTCCTGGCTATTAGAATTGTGCTCTGGTGGTGCCCTCCTCTTTTGCCAGCCAACACAATACCTGGTAAAGTACATCTCCAGAGGGAAGTGGAACCTCAGCAGCTTGTCCAAGGTTAGCTGGTATTCCCATGGACTGAACTGCTGGTTGCAGAAGCTGTGGGTGAACCTGACTTGGTAGCTGGGTCACAGGCTGCAGAAGGGTTGGATGCTGACTATGAACCATAGTTGTTCCCCCTGGGATTGCAGCTACTGTAGCAGACGAAGCCAAGGTGAGCAGAGGCTGATTAATGCCAGCTGCAATTGTGATGGGCAAGGATGAGAAACCTGTCTGAGCTGCAGACGCATGAGGAGCTGAAATGGGAATCTGAGAGACAGGGTACTGAGGGAGTATTGGCGTAGGGAGTGGCTGTCCCATAGGGAGGAAATGAGCACCAGAGTGGACTGGAACAACTGAGGGCTGTGTTGCAACTGGGATCTGAGGTTCGCCTTGGATAGTTGGTACTGGCTGGGAAACTGGAAGCTGGGAAGGTAAAAAAAAAAACAGACTTTAAAAAAATAGAAAAGCAATAAGAGCAAGGCTGCCAAAAGCAAGATTTGTTAGCCTGAAAGAAGGAAAAAACAACAATAACAACTTGCATACATTTTAGTGTAAGTTTAGGTGCCATATATGAAAAGGGAAAGGAGAGCAGAAAACAAACACGTTGATAGATTAGCTCCTATTCCAAATCTTTTACAGTACACAATTTTGCAAATTCACCTCTGTTTATCAAAGAAAGAAGACCCTTCATGGGCAAAGGATTTTTTTGTTGGTTTTAAACGGCCTTTTTGAGATACATTTTACAGATCATTATCCAATGGCATGTTTGTTGTTACTAAATCTATGTGTGCCATTATAGCAGTTACTAAAATGTATATGAATTTCTTTACCACAGATCTAGATTTCATTCTTTTCATTTCTCTAATTCTCAGGTCCAACATAGGTCTATAACAACAGGTATAATTATTATACTTTACTGAGTCAAAGATTCTGATTATCTTAACATTTGTGAAAATGAGTTACAGCTTACAATTCATTTGTGTCAGAACTCAGTATTAACTGTGGAGTTTATCGGCCACACGTGGAGGGGCTCAGGACGTACAATTGGCTGTAGCAGGGCTCAAACCTCGGTCAGCTGCATGCAAGGCAAAAATCCAATCCTCTGTTCTATCTCTCTGCCCTCTTCCCCCATTAAAGAGTCTTAGACTAACAAACTGAAAGGTTTAATACTACCGAATTGCTGCTGCTATACACCTACTTACATAGCTAAGGCATACTTTAATTTTATTTTGTTGGGAAACTAATCAATTTCAGTATTTTACCACTAGAAGGACAGAAAAATGAAAGTTATACGGACATCCTTTTTAGCATCCTATTAGACATGGAGCGTTTACCTGTTTTCCCACTGATACTTGAGTCATAACCTGTGGAGTTTGAGGCTGACTCACTGGCTGTGCAGTAGTGGCCTCACTGGAAGCTGACGTCTGTGGAAGTGAATACTGCACCGTCTGTTGAGGAGGGGCTGTCTGTTGTATTCCCTGCTGCTGAGAATAAAATATAATTACTCAGTTTTTTATTTCATGTCATTTTAACAGCGTATTTCTAAGAAAGGTATGTTTGCCAAACTCTTCAGCATATAGTAAATGATCGCAATTTTAATAATCAACATGTGAACAAACCCATCAGTTCCCCTATACACTCCTTTTCTCTGGGGTTACTTCTTTCAGTTTTTTTGGCCACATCCAGAAGTGCTCAGGGAACCATAGCAGTGCCAGGGATAAAACTCAGGTTGGTCGCTGAACTATCTCTCCAGTCCGTCCCTGGAGTATTTTTATCCTTGATTGTAACACCAAGAACAATTAACCAATGTCTCAAAACCTAAGTCTCTACTGGTTCTCTGAATACTGCATCAAAATACATCCTTTCTCCTTTTTACCTGTTCTTAGTATGGACTCCCACTTTATCTCCTATAAAAAATGAATCTGGTCTCCTGTAATTTCTTTTAACATATTAATGCTGGCAGCAACTACTGGTTGATCACCATACTTGAATGGCTTGAATGTGGCTTAACTAATGCAAACTGCTGCAGGGGTGTCAATATGTTAAGCGATTTTATCAACCGTATAACAATATGCTTGAAAAAAATAGCTCTCAATGCAGTAATAAAACAGAAAAGCAATTAGAGATTGTAACTTTACTCTTTATCCATTTTACTGCAAAAGTAAGGTTTCTTCTTTTTAAAGGAAGACATTAACATTAAATGCAATGAAGGGTGAAAAGGGGAATTAGCACTTACAAGGTGCTCTAGTGACAATACACCTTAGTAAACTTAGCATTATGATACATTAAATTTTGTAATGAATTAAGCAAAACAAACCTAGGCCCTTATGAAATTAATGGCCCTGTTTTGCCCAACAAAAATGTAAACTTTTTCAAGATTCTAGTAATTACAGCTTATTTTAAATTTTGTTTCTTTTTTCCCTTTTCTTTGTTGGGGGGAGTGGGAGCAAGGGCGGTTTCCCAAGCGGTGCTCAGGATGCCTAGGGATATCTACTGATGACGCTTGACTAAAAGGTTTGGCAACTCTACTAGAGAACCGAAGACTGACCAGGTGCTGTAGTGGCAGGAATTATCTGGGCCACACTTGGCAGTGCCTGGAGGCCTCCAGGGTCACTCAGGGTGCCACGTTTAAATCAGGATTAGTTTAATACAAAGGCATGAGCCTCGTCCCTCATACTATCTCTCCAGTTCCCAATTTTTTAAAATATACAAACATTTGTTGGTAAAAATTTTAACCATCAGATTACAAAGTTAAATAAAAGTATCACTATCTCCCTTTCTCCAGAGGTAACTACTAGTAGACATTTTGCATAGCACCATTATGGATTTTTTAAAAAAATTTCTATTTATTTCTCATAATGGAGCGATCTTAAAATACTGGTGCAGGGACTGGCATAGTACTTTGTAACTATACAATAGTGACTTTAATACTAATATGAACTATGGTAACTCAATTTAAAGAAAGATAGCTCATGTACTGGCTTCTGATAATTACTAAGTTTTCGAGGAGGAGGCTATTTTAGGGATCTCATTAAGATATGCCAGGCTACTAGCAGTCAATCTTGATAAAAGCATGAAAAAAGGATTCCTCATTCAATATACTTCAGAAATGTTTCATGGGAAATAAAACTTTAGCAGCAGTGCACTTCTGGAGATAAAATTTTTTAAAGCTGAGTTTGGAACTTTATGGCACGTAAAACAAAATTGCGTCTGAAAATAAAGCATACTTATACAGCATAGAAATTTTACATTTTTTTTTTAAAAATATATGGAACTCCGATTCTTGTGCAGGGCTGGAGTAATAGCACAAGCGGGGAGGGCGTTTGCCTTGCACATGGCTGATTCCATCTCTCTCGAAAAGCCCGGCAAGCTCCCGAGAGTATCCCGCCCGCCCAGCAGAGCCTGGCAAGCTCCCCGTGGAGTATTCGATATGCCAAACACAGTAACAAGTCTCACAATAGAGACATTACTGGTGCCCGCTTGAGCAAATCGATGAACAATGGGAGGACAGTGCGACAGTGCTAAAGTGCATATGGAACTCCAGTAGCTAAATCTTCTTGTGATCTGTAAATTCGAACATCAGGGGATGGGGGATGGCTCAGAAGCTAACCTGAGGGTGTAAATTACATATATAATGCCCAAATATAAGATATGGAACTTGGAAAAGAAAAACGGCACAGGCAAAACTATGTTCAGATTTTTTAAATTTATCTACATTCAAGATAAGCATTATCAGGAGACACAGAATAGTGCTTCCGACTTAAGCCAGCTTTACATTACTTTTAATATGTATTCTTACAAGGAATTATGAATAGAATACTGAACTTGTTATGTAGCAAAAATGTGACTACGTGAACTTACCTATAATAATATTTGGATTCAGATACCTAACTAGAAAAAAGGGAAGAGCAAGAAAAAGAATATACTAATTCCAAGCTTTCAGTAAGATACTGGTCATAAAACTGAAAACAATAACAACAACAAAAACTAAATAAGAATCACTAATAAAACTATTAGGGGCTGGAGCGATAGCACAGCGGTAGGGCGTTTGCCTTGCACGCAGCCAACATGGCCGACCCGAGTTCGATTCCTCCGCCCCTCTCGGAGAGCCCGGCAAGCTACCAAGAGGATCTCGCCTGCATGGCAGAGCCTGGCAAGCTCCCCGTGACATATTCGATATGCCAGACACAGTAACAACAAAGTCTCCAATGGAGACGTTACTGGGCCCGCTCGAGCAAACCGATGATCAACGGGAGGGCCTTTACTTACTTACTTACTTACTTTTACTAAACTATTATCAAATGACTACATGATCCACATACTAGACTGGGAGTAAATCTTTTGAAGAAAAACAAAAAGTTTTGTGTGTAAGACCCTGTCTTCTATTCTTTGTATTACATGCCACCCTACCTACAACATGAAAAGTGGGGAGTGGACCCAAAAATAGTGACTCAAAAAATGTTTTCTTCAAAAAACTGATATATGGGACCAGAGCAATGGTAAAGCAGGTAGGGCACTGCCCTACATGTGGCTGACCCAGGTTTGAGTCCCAGCATCCCATCTGGTCCCCCAAACAAGCACTGCCAGGCGTAATTCCTGAGTGCAGAGCCCAATTAAAAATTACACACACACACACACACACACACACACACACACACACACACACACACACACACAAAGTCCTGAGGCAGTTGTTTATAGGCTTTATTCTGTGTTTCTTAGCATACAATTGGAGAACTCCATCTCCTATATTAATTAAAAAGACCAGAAATAATAATAAAAAACCCATTGAAACAAACCTAATATTAGTGGTAAAAAATTTATAAAAATGCAAGTTTTAAACAAAGTAGAAATAAAACTGGGCTGGGGCAATAGCACAGCGGGTAGGGCATTTGCCTTGCATGTGTCTGACATAGCCGATCCGAGTTCAATCCCTCCGCCGCTCTCAGAGAGCCCGGCAAGCTACCGAGAGGATCTCGCCCGCATGGCAAAGCCTGGAAAGCTCCCTGTGACGTATTTGATATGCCAAAAACAGTATCAACAGGTCTCACAATTTGTTGTGAGACATTACTGGTGCCGATGAACAATGGAAGGATAGTGCTACTGTGCTACAGAAATAAAACTGATGTTCTTTGCTAATTTAGCGTAACTGTTAAATTATATGGGCTAGAGCGATAGCACAGCGGTAGGGCGTTTGCCTTATAAGCGGCCAACATGGCTGACCCGAGTTTGATTCCTCCGCCCCTCTCGGAGAGCCCGGCAAGCTACCGAGAGTATCTCGCCCACACGGCCGAGCCTGGCAAGCTCCCCGTGACGAATTTCGATATGCCAAACACAGTAACAACAAGTCTCACGATGGAGACGTTATTGGGCCGCTTCGAGCAAATCGATGAACAACGGGAGGACCGTTAAATTCCATGTGCAATGATCTACAAAGGCAGATAATTCATGTATCAGTAAGAATGATTTTCCTGAATTTCAATGTATCTCTAATCTGGTACATTGTTAATAGCAGGATGGAGAGATAGTACGGGGATTAAGGTACTTGCCTTACATGTGGCTGACACTGGTTCAATCCCCAGAACTGCATGTAGTTCCAAGTACCAGGAGTGATTCCTAAACACAGAGCTAGGAAAATGCCCGAAGTACTTCTGGGTCTGACCACAGTCCTCCCCTAACCCTAACATATATGTTAAATGAGAATTCAAAATGTTTTTTGATTTCCCTTTCAAAAAACTAGCAAGTCGGCAGAGATAGTTTCGGACCTCACACTAGGCTGAGTTGTAAGGCGCACCCAAAGTCACCACCAGTTAAAAATTTAACTCCTGCTTTATCACCCCATTCAAAATTTAATTCCTGGAGCGCATGGCTAAATTTGCGGCCACACTACATTCCAAACTCTACATCACTCATAAACAAGGAGCAACACACCACACTGGATGGGATGTAAAAGAGAAAGCAACTCATCTCAACAAAATATAAACGGATAAAGCTTAATCTGTAACAACATGTTAGTAATCTCTTTTACAACGGGTTAAGGGCTCCATGGTGAGATAGAAATATCCTCACACACTTTCTTCTAAGGAAACATTTTTTGATCATTTTAGAGAATTATTTATAGCAAGAAATATAAATTATTCAGGGTAGGCTATGGGGGCAGGCTTGAGGGGGTAGGGAAATGATGGTGGTGGGAACATGCAATGGCGGTAGGACTGGTGTTGGAATGTAACAAATCATCATAAACAACTTTGTTACCAGTGATCTAACCTCTGAAAGAAAAAAAATAATAGTTTCTCTGGCACCACTGAAAAATAGTAATAAGTTGTTCTCACCTGCTGAGAATGTTGTATGGATTGGGAAGATGGAACCCCTGTTAAGTTACTTGAAGATGGCTGACCTTGACTCTGCCCCTGTGCCTGAAGAAAAGAAATGAAAACAAATTAGAAAAGTTCTATGGTAGAGTGAGTGATTAGGCTTTTGCAATAAATGTTTACTGTCCTGAGAGTTTGCTTAAGAGCAAAATGAAACATTAGCTTGATTTAAGTATGTACGGTAGAGACCACTGGGAAATCTTTTCTAAGAAATGGTTAGAGAAGGATAGTATCATGGAACACAATCTAATTCCATATAAACATCAAAGATAATTAAAATATAACCTATAGTGTATTTGCTCAGGGTATAATTTTAGCTAGTCAAAACAGTAAGATTCCTCTTAAAATCATTTAAGTGAAAATACATGGAAACAGTGCTGCGAACGAACTTTATCTGAACAGTTAAAGAAATGTAGGTATGCAGTAATGCCACCTTGGTTCCTTTGCTACTTTCAGAAGGATCATGGCAATTATCAAATGTGTACAAAAACCTGTTAGAACCACCTGCCAAATAGCTAAAGCAGCAGCCATTATCAGGGACTGGACAGCCTTGAATTCCATCCCACACTCTGGGACTCTTCTGTGGGGGATACGGCTGCTATTGACATCGAGTGAGGAGAGGCCCAGGTGCTGCCACATCCTACAAGGCACAGAACAGCCATCTACAACAAAGAACTTTCCAACCCAAAGTGTAGACAGCATTGAATCTGAAAAAGCCTGACTTAAGAGGAGTCGAATCATCATGAAATCCAAGTTATAATAAACTTAAAAAGTGAGAAACAAATGCAGAACTTTAAATAGGTAAGTTATGCAAATAAAAAGGCTACCACCTTTGCTGTTTAATTTCAGTTTAGAGGTGACTTCTCTGCTGCACACTTGGATATGAGATCACATTCTATTAAGTCGTAACCATGCAAAGTATTTATTCTTTCTGTAATATGTCTGTCAGCTATCTGATAGTCTGAAATTTTACTCTGGAAAGCTTGACAGAGAATTCCTGGCAGGATATTAGGATTTATAATAAGTGGTGACAAAAATACAAGTACAGTCCATGCCCATGCAGAATAATTCCTAGATTTCTTTGCTTTTTAGTAGCACTTGAAGTAACTAATACTTGAGGTCCATTTTTGGGATTGTTTATGTCCCAATATGGACAAGAATACAAGAAGAAAGTGGGGTGAACATGAAGTGCTTTACAGAAGAGGGGAGTATTTATAAACTCAAACTGATATCTTAAAAATGTAACTGCATAGTTTCCTACAGATATTCCATAGCATTCACTCATATATTTGGTAAAATATATCAAAGAGCTATATAGAATAGGGTAACTCCACTTCTTGATTTCTAGTACATTCACAACTTGGTTTTTTTCCAAGACAAGGTATATATTCATATATACAAACAGCAAAATTTTAATTTGCTGAGAGAATAAGATCTGAACTTTCTAATAATCTTTAGCTTGCAACTTATCTTTACACATGTACCACAAATTTTTTTAAAAGAATTCTTAAATTCTTAAAAGAACAACAAAAACCCATCTTTTACACTAGATCCTAAATCCATTGTTAAAAATTAGAATCAATTTTATGGATTGAAATTTTGTTTAGATAGACTACATAATGTCTTCTTTGACTGACGCCATTTTAAAAAGGCATTTTATTTGCTGAGGCTAATTTGTAAGATGTTTCCTTTCTCTTCAGATTTTTCAAACCAACAAAAATTCTATGTATTCTTTGTACACAACACAAAGAATCGGGGATCCTGGGGACCATTCTCAATAGCGTTTGACCTGGCAGTGTGGGCTGGACTACTGTATTCTAGGCCTCAGCAGTATTGGGGTGACCAGAGCTACACTCAGCAATGCTCAAGGAACCATATATGTCAGGAATTAAATCTGTTGTGCTCCAGCCCTTTTAACAATGTCCCCAGGCCCAATTCTGTGTATTGTTAACACGACTTACAAATTAAAAAAAGTACGCCCTATTTCTGATAACAGGAAAAACATTACTCTTCATTTTTCCAGCTAGATGCATTTGCTTCTGGAGAGAAAGAAACACTTCACATTAACATTTGTAAATATATAAAGCTGAGTCAACTTCAAATGATAGACACTGGTATTTTCACAACTACAAGAAAATATGCTACAAACATACGGAAGAAATTGGTACTGATGAGTATCTAAAATTTTAGGTTTGTGTTCTCCTAGAATTTGCACGTTAAAAACAAATTAGGCCCTTTCTCTCATACTTTGTTCTTAAATACAAACAGCTTATAAATCCCCAATATGAAAGCTGTATTAAAAAATTAAATATTCTCTTTAATGGAAAGGAGAGATTAAAAAACTTAAATGTAGTGGTATACTGTAGGGTAGGTTAAAAGAATCGTGGAAGTTTTCCTATAACCTGTGGATGGAGTGTAGATCCTCCTGAAGAAAATGAGGCAGATAAGACCTGCTGAGATGTGGTTCCTTGGGGGAAACAGAAGAAAAGTGGGGATTCTTGTAACACTGTCTGAGGCAGACGGATAAAGGGCAATGAGACGTCAGAGCCAAAAGGTGCAGCTGCTCCCCCAGTAGGGGGAGGTGATTGAAAATCACTGGGGTCTGAAGAAGTAATTTGTGAGGAATCACTGGAATATTCTGGGCTTCCTATTGGCCAGTTCTGTCCGACAGACTCTACCACAGAAACGGTCAATTCTGGGGCAATGTAATTATGATGTTCTTCAGTCACGGGCTGCAGGCGGCCATGTAATCCCACGGATTGAGGAGATGGTTCTTCCTGATTCAAATCCAGAGTAACCTGTTGATTTCTGTAAACACGCTGAGGTAAAACTCCTCCTCCTTCTCCCGAAGAGGAGCTTGGTGTGTGAACATGAAACTCAAAAACACAATTGCTTCTGCTCTCATTGTTATGAGTTAACACAGCAGGTGCAGAATGAGGAACAAAGACAGGGTGAAATTTCATACGTGTACCATCAGTACTGATAGGTGCAGAAACACTAGACAGGGGAGATCCTGAATTCAATCCAGAATCTAATCTTAAATTCTGAAGGTGTCCTATCAGGAAAGCCTGTTGAGATGGAAATTCAAAGACAGAACTTGAGGTAGGGCCCCCTTGGACTGGCTTCTGTTCAGGTGTCTGTTTCATAGGACTTGACAGTACTGGTGAGCTGTAGGGAATACCCTCATACTGTTCTGCCATTTTGGCCTGGTAATGTACCCCCGCTAGATACAATGCTTCCTGAGGAATAAAATAGTGAGCTTCTTCTGGAAGTACTAGTCCAGGTCTATAGTCACTGTAAACTTGAGTTGGTTCAAACATAGGCTGAACCTGTATCTCACATGGCTCTCCAGGTATTTTACTGGCTGCAGTACCCAACATAACTACTGCCTCTGGTGTCCAGTTAGTTGGGTTGCCACCAGGTTGAAGATGATTTTGGCCAACAGTCCTCAGCAGGGGTTGGAAGTGTCGGGTTTGGGCTTCCAGGTAGGAGGTGCTCTTACGCCGCTGGGAAATGGCCACCTTCGGTGGGCAGGTGGGAGGTGGTGAAAAGGAAACTGGACGTTCATGAATAGTTGGGAAAAATATCTGTGATTCTGGGTATGTTGGGGTCCCCCCACACGGATGCGCCATGGACTGAGGCTGTATCAACATGAATAAGACAAGTAATTCATACATTCATATGTGAAATTACATTAGACATGCACAACTGGGTAGTTCTGTGTAACCCTATGAAATGGTTACACCAAGTTTATAATTAATAAAGAAATAACAATGCTTTTGGAAATTATGGGTATAATAAAAATCCATTAAATACATCCAGGGTTAATAAATTCTTTGAGACTCTGCTTTAGGTAAGAGCTGCTTTTCCATAACTTTTCTCAAGGAAATAGAAATTTAGCGTTTGTATTTAGTATGTTGTTTGTCTTTAAAACTGTCTCAAGACAATGCAAATTACATCAGTGGGAAAAGAGTAAAAGAATATAATTAAAGCAGTTAAGTCAAATAAATTTTATCATAAAAGTCTTCCTATTTTTCATATTCTTAAACAATGTGCCACTGTAACAGAAGCCTCAGTACTGTTTTATCAACTAATGGTATAGCTTCTGAACAGAAATGCGATTTCTGATGAATAAAAAACTATACTAACAGCAATAATGCCTTTTCCCATCTAGACACAATATTACTATACAAAGCATGTTACAGATGTCAAATCACTGAATGCCCAATAATTTTTTTTAATATTCGAGTAAAGGACTGATTAATTCGTGTTCACATCAAATGAAAAGATAATATAAATTATCAACCTCATTTTTTGGTTTTTGTTTTGGGTTCACTCCCAGAGTGCTACAGAATAATGAAAAGCTGCAGATCAAACCTGGGGCCCCTGAAAGCAAAGAATGTGCCCGAGCCCTTTGGGTCCTCAACCTGGACCAACAACCAACTTGATTCAGTGTCACTTTTCGTTCACAAAAGCAGTTCTCCATTTAAGTCTAAGTTTAGAATCCTAGTTTATTAAAAGTGTGCTATAATAATTCATTTTCATAGACTCTTAATAGAAGAGATGAAGTCTTTAGTCTTTCAAACAGGAAGATTTTTCAAGTTGGCAAAATAGTTTGGCTGAGACTTCTTCCCAAATAAAAGAGGGTTTTGATTTTGAATCCAAATGTCCATTTAATATTTAAGGAGCACCCCCAAACCATATACTACATTAAAAGCTACATAATCATTCTTCTAAATAGAAATCAGAAAATGGGGGATAACAATCAGATTGTTAATTATATATTCACTATCTGGAAAAGCAGCAGCAAGGACCCAAGTGTTTATATAACTTTTAACAGGTAGCTCTTTAATAGACAAGAAAGTGGCACAAAAGAATGATGTATTTACATGTGTCTAATATATTCATTAAAGACCACTTTTTCCAATCTCAGGAAGAAAAAATAAAACAACTTCCAAGAAGGAACACTATGATTCAGTTTACTGGCATGTTATTTTAGATAATTTTGGTGGTGGGGGGAGGGGGCTGAGGGACATACCCAGTAGTTCTCAGTAGTGCTCCTGGCTCAGTGCTCGGGGGACCATGTGATGTCAGGGAATGAACCCAAGCCTGCTAATGCAAAGCAGCACTTCAGCTTGTTGAGCTCTCTCTCCAGACCTTAGATAATTAGTGGATTAAAACTACCCTTCACTCTTTAATTATTCTTCACTGGCTGGAGTCCGGAAAAAAAATGCAGGTGGTGGGGGAGGGTGTGGAGGGAGCGTCTGAGGTTCTTTAATATTTCTTTACAGAAAACATATTTAGGTAATGTCTGGTATAGAGAAATTTTGCACCGCAAACTGGAAACGCAAAAATTTATATTGATAAGGGAAAATACATGAAAGCTTCTGTATTAAAAAATTTGATTGCATTTTTATACACTGATCTATCCCAAGGACGATAAGTATTCTCTCTCGTTACTTCCTTGCTTTTTTCCCCATTTAAAGATATATAACAAAAAAGGTTCCTACAGGAAACTTTAAGTCCTGTTTTTTTAAGTTTTATTTGAATTCTTGATGCCTGGATGTATTCATTGGTAACATTTTCATTTGCAGGAAGTTTATGGTTACATACAGTACTGACAAAGAGGGAAGGCAGGCTGGAGCGTCGGTACTTGCGCTGAGAGGCAGAGTGCATAGGCAGGACACTCTCCAATGCTTTAGAAAGCTTTTCGGCAAAAGTTTCCTCGGGGGCAGTCCGAAGGAGGGAAGGAGAAAGAGGTGCAGACAGCACTGGTAGTGGGGTGGAAGGAGCACTGGGAGAGATGCGGGACAGAGAGGGAACGGCAGAAAGATGGGGAACACAAACCGACATGCTACGGCCACGACGAGGCTAAACAGAAAACAAACACATACATGAAAAACACGGTACTTTGAAAACAAAATAACCAAATGCACAATGATAATAATGCATAGTTGATATAAAGAAATGTTCCATTCTCCCCCAATTCCACATAGCCAATTTTTTTCTTTTGAGGAAAGGTGTAACTCCATAAGCACCCAAGCAGAACAGAACTATTCTACCTGGTAGGTTAATCACAGGTATTTTTTTTAAACATGAATGAACATGATAATAATTATCTTCCTAAATATTTTGAAGTAACATCCATGGTTATAATGTATGAATAAGAATGACCAACTATAGAAGCAAGATAGGGGGAAATGATTAAACAAGAATGAATTTTATTAGTTTAATGCACAATGTAAGTAAGATGCAAAAGATTTTAGAAACTGTAATACTTTGCAGATGTGAAAACCTCATTTGGAAAAAGCCTGTCTATTCTATTTTAGAAGGTATCAACTGATATAAAAGTTGATGGCTCACAGTAATCTATTACATTTCTCTATCTGTAATGATAAAGGCAATTTTCTTCGTGGTAAAACATTTGCTTTCTAGAAATGATTCAATTAGGAATAGTTAACAGTCTGTACTTCTACTAAAGTATTCAATGAATAAATAACAAAGTTGTCTGTCCCCCCCTCCAACCCACCCCTACCCCCGGCCTATCAAGATATTGAATTTAGGTGAACTTTGAGGAACTTTAAAGGTTTTAATGTAGCAACACAGAAGTAGGTCTTTAAGTTGTCTTGGGCAACTTAATTCCTTTTAAATACTGAGAACTGTGTAACTGTAAGTTTTCTTTTCCAAAATTGGCTGTAGAGAATGCTTCTGAGTCAAGCTTATGGCTTACCAGCAGCCAGTACATAAATGTCACCTTGATTGTATAGCTTCATCCCTAGTTCTAATATTTTTCTCCACTTTCTCATTTATTCTAATTCTACTCATAATTTAAATTACTGTAAACCAGTCGATTTTATTTTTATATTAAGCATAAAATTAACTTTAATACTTAATAATTCTTCATAACTACAGAGAATATTTTCACAAAAAAAGAAAATAGTGTGCATTTAGAGCATCAACAAGCATAACTATGTGGTTTAATACTTAAATTTTCATACATGACCATCTCTTTTCTTTTTCTAAGAGATCCACTGTTCAGAATTCTGTGATGAAGTTAAGAGATTAAAATGCTTTAATAAAATAACCTAGCCATAATGTAGACAGAAATAAATTAATCAGAACAGGAGTAAAAACTTAATAAATATTGACAATATTTGTCAAAATCAAAAATACGTAATTCATATAGTCATTATTAAATTTTCTACCCTGCCTAATTATTTTGAAGGTAGACCGCTAAACTTAAGAACATTAATAGCTTTCTCTGTTTTAATGTGGCCATTCATCTTGACACCTAGCCAAAGCAGGACTGATGAATGAACAAATGAAGCAAATAACCTCTTTTAATCCAAGCTGTAGGATAAAAGACCAGAGCAAGCAGAAGTATTTTCTAACAGAGAAAGATTTTCGTTTGATGAAGAACGGGCATTCCACAAAATTTCTGTTAAAAGTTTCTGAGAAAGAGGAAACAACTCGTCTGTCTAAACACATCATCAAAAATAAATGCATGGCTCAATTCCTTTCTGAAGCAGATGATGTATTTTATTTCTCCCTGAAGAATCCAGAGGATTAATAATGGTTTTTTGTTCTTTTGGTTTAGGGGCCATACCTGGCTGTACTTGGGGGTCCCTACGTGATGTAGGCAATAGAACCAGAAGGAATAGGTTTTATTTGGTGATCTACTTCATTCTTCAGATGAGAAGAATGACTAATGTAAAACATGCGGTAATAGTATGAGAGAGAGAGAGAGAGAGACTGTGTGTGTGTGTGTGCGTGTGCGCGTGTGCGTGTGTTTGTGTGTGTGCGCGCGCGTGCGCATACATGCATTTCAGGAAATAATCTTCCTAAGTTGATTCTGAAAATAAGTCAGTAACAAAACAAATACCAAATAAAGGGGGAAAGCAAATGAACATATACTGGGGAAGGAACTTGTGTCCAACAGACTGTAAGGCAGGAACACGCATAGCAACTTATGATTAAACACAAGCACTAAATTAAATGGTCATACAAATACAGGATTCCTTCACTCTAAAGAACTCACATGCAGCATTCTAAAACGACTTGAAAGTCTTACCTGTGTTTTATACAATAAAAAAGATCTTAGAGAAAATGCTTAGTAATTCTTTTAATGAGTAAACTTCTAAAAACTTTCCTTGTCCCCATACCCAAACTGTTTAAATCTCCAACTTATGCCGCTTTGAAAAATTTTAACTCTTAAGTTCTAGAGAGAAATTAATCTGTAATCAAATACACTAATATCAACTTTTACATAATTGTTGCATGAGAAATTGAGCTACTTCACTGACATTAACTTTATGTCCTATTCAGCTTGAACTACCCCATGATATTCTATAATAAACCTATTTCCTTTAAAAATGCACCTTCAAACAGAAACAACAAAAAAATTGCAGGCTCATGCTATTACTTGAGTGGTAGAAAGAACTAATTAGCTATTGGCTCTGATTATAGCCTTCTCTCAAGCATTTACTTACCATACTTGAGGACGGATATACCCCATGGGGCTGAGATTGTGCTTGGACAACAGAAGCGGTGTGTCCTGGGATTGTGCCAGTAGAATGTGCCTGTTCATGCTGGGATCCGTATGAAATTGTCTGCTGGCTGCTCACTCGAGATTCTGTAAAAACAGACGATCCCTGACCACTGTCAATTGTCCCATCAGCTGAAGGAGAAAATGCAAAAAAAGAAAGAAAGAAAGAAAGAAAAAGAGATAAATCACAAAAAGTCCACATTTTCCAACCACAAACCTGTGTCTTAAGGTTTTTTTTCCCCTTTGCACAGATATGAACTAAATAAAATATTAATGCTAGTTATTTATAAGTAAATGTCTAAGCTAAATGAAGGATCCATACAAAGAAGTTTTAATTTTAAAAAAAAGTCCCTGGCTATCACAAAATCTTTATCTGAAAAATAAGGGAAATAAAATGTGATGTCAGTTTGCCTCAAGTTTAACACCATTTTAGTGATTTTTAGTCTACTATGTTATTATTCAGTTATTAGCTAAATAAAAATGTCATTTTGCATTACTGTCTTTTTACTTTAAAAAACTGTGAGGAAAAATTTACAAATTGGAACCTCTAAGAAACTGAAACCTACAAAACTATTCTTTAATCCTAATCAGAGTTCACACTGTCTCATCCTTCTATCAAATCAGGAATATGAAAAGAGAAAGGAAAGGCAGATGGCTACCAGTTTAAATTTCTGGTATTTTGAATAATCCAAAACCAAAATGTTAGTATAAAATGCTAAATTAAAAAATCAATTAGAAATATAAGTGGCATAATCATCCACTTTTCAAAATACTCACATAATATAGATATACTAGGTTGTTGGTACTGCAATTGTTGATGTTGATCTGCTTCAGGTTCTTCGGGTTCTACTTGTGTAGAAACTGAAGCAGAAGTGGTGGAGGCAGTAGGTATCCCGGTGCCTACAGAGGGGACCTGTTTGATTCCAGCCTGAGAAGTGCTTGCTTGTTGTTCTACCTGCTGTTTGAGACTGCTTTCTTCCTGCTTTCTTTTCTCTTGCTCCTCTCGCACCAACTGGCGCTGTTCTCGTTTTCTCTTAATTAATGACACTCTATCTTTGATGGCTTTCGCCATAGTCTTGTGATCACCTTCACAAACATACCCAGATTCCACCTACAGGATAAAAGAGAATTTATTAAGAAGCAGAAAAATACTCAAACACACACACATCTCCCAAGAAAACAAAAGGTACTTTTGGAGAGGAAAGTCAAGGGAATAATGTTCTCTCTACTATAAAACTACAGATCTGTATTACGCATTTTCCCACCATTTCTGAAGATGCTGATGGGGTGGGTGCTATAATTTTGATGGGTGCTTTCTCTTTAACAACAAAAGAGGCAATGAGAACTCTGAAACCAAAGTTCTTAAAACAAGTAAACTCATTCTGTTCTATTTAATCTATTTCCCACTCACATGTGACCGTCATTCATTTCCTTTGGGTTTTGGGACCATACCTGGTAACAGGCAGGGCTTAATTCTGCTGGTGCTGTGGGATGCAGGCGAATGAAGCCGAGTCAGCCATAGGCGAGGCAAGCACTATACCTGCTATACTGCCTCTCTGCTTTATATCCATTAATTTTAACATGTTTTGCCTTTGTCTTCTTTTCATTGGTAAACTGTGGCTAATACATGCAGATATAAACAGAAGCTTTCAAGGGGCTAGGGAGAGTAAAGCAGGTAAGGCACTTGCCTTGCACATGGCTGACCTGGGTTCTGGCAGAGTGCTTGCTTTGCGTGCAGATAACTTGGGTTTGATCTCCAGCACCACATACAGTACGTTACATCCCATCAGGATCTATCCCTGAACTGTGTCCTGACCTGTGTGGAGCTTGGTGTGGCAACAAAAAGTATCTTAGTAGCTTCTTCTCAGAGGTAGCAGCTATTAAATAATCTTGTAAAATTCAGAAAGATATCCTCTGGATATTTTTGTATAATCGCTAATTTAGGTTCTGTGGAAAACCTAAAATTAGTGGTTTCTTTTCTCACAAGTGACCTAGACTAAGTTCAAAATACACTCAGAGAAGGTTGTCTACTGGTAATTTATCTTGAAAACTCCCTCTGAAGTGAAGTGTATGACCAAAATTTACAGTACTTACACGATGACTGGTCAAAGCCTAATACAGTAATACTTAGAAATCCTAACTTATCATTCCAATTAAAGAGGCTTAATCTAAAAGTGAATCAACCGATAAACTTTCGTAATGCATTCTAAGTCTCTCCCTTTCATCTCATTCAGTCTCATCAGTCACACCTGAAGATAAACACATATCTTCTTTCTTTTATTTTTAAATGATACTTTTTATTTACTTTGCTTTTTTGGTCACACCCAGCAATGCTCAGGGGTTACTTCTGGCTCTGCACTCAGAAATCAACCCTGGCAGTACTTGGGGGACCATATGGGATGCTGGGAATCGAACCCGGGTCGGCTGCATGCAAGGCAAACGCCCTACCCGCTGTGCTATCGCTCCAGCCCTAAACACATATTTTCTTCAAATAACTGTCCAATTTTGGGGCCAGAGAGATAGTATAGTGAGTAAGGTGCTTGCCTTGTACACTGCTGACCTGGGTTCAATTCCCAGCACCCTATATGGTTCCCTGAGCTCACAGGGGCTAATCCCTAAATGCAAAGCTAAGAATAAGCCCTGAGTACAGCCAGGTGTGCCCTGTCCCTGTCCCCCCCCCCCCCCCAAAAAAAAACCCAACAAATTTCAAATCACTGGGATATGCAATGTACAATACTTCATCACTGTATCACTGTCATCCTGTTGTTCATCGATTGCCTCGAGCAGGCCCCAGTAAAGTCTCCTTCATCCTAGCCCTTAGATTTTAAAAAAGTGCCACATTTGAGGCTCTTTCAGGGTCAGAATGAGACCCATCATTGTTACTGGTTTTTGGCACACTGAATATGCCACGGGGAGTTTGCCAGACTCTGCCGTGTGGTGTATGGTTTTTTAAAATTGATTATTCTGGGTCCTGTAAACCTTAAAGATAAACTGGAATAAATAAACTTAAAGGCAAAAATGAGTTAATTATAATCACTATTTTTAGAAAAATGTGTTTATTGGTGCTGAGATGAAGAAGACAAATAAGTTTTATATAGTTTAGTCTCTGGCAGGCTATAATACTTCATAAACTGCCTTTTTTTTTTTTTTTTTTTTGCTTTTTGGGTCACACCTGGCAGTGCCCAGGGATGACTCCTGGCGGTGCTCAGGGGACCATATGGGATGCTGGGAATGGAACCAGGGTAGGCCGCGTGCAAGGCTAACACCCTACCCACTGTGCTATCGCTCCAGCCCAACTGCATTTTTTTTTGCCCAATAGTATCAGTGAATATAAAATCTTTATCAACTTTAAATCGCTGCTTAGTCTTTACCATTTCCTGAGCAACATCTTCTGGTACATCTCTTTCCAAGTCAAAGGAAAACTCAATAGCTTCATTGTCTTTGTATTTTCCCTTCAATTTCTTAATATCTTCAATACGCAACCATAATTTAATGGCTATTTTTTCTCCATCATCTTCTTCTGCTAGTTCTACCCGTACCCCTGTTTCCTCCTGGAAGAAGGCATGGTTCAAAAGGTCTTTGATAGAGTATCTTCAAAAGAGAGGAAAAAGAAACAAAACACCATTAGATTAAAAAAAAATTCATGTGTAGTTGATTACTGCTATTATTTAGAAAAATAAAAAAGAACTGCAAAAATAAAAACAAAACTTTATAACTCATTTAAACATTGCTTAATTTAAATAATTGTTGAGCTTTATTCTCAAGTAAATATAAACAATCTATATTAAGATCTGAAAGTGAACTTTAGGGCATTTGCCTTGCATGTGGCAGACCCAGGTTTGAACCCTGCCAGGCAGCCCCCTATGATTTCTTGAGAGCACTAGAAGTGACCCCTGAGCACAGGAGCCAGGAGTAAGCCCTGAGCATGTGGGTATGTCCTCACAGCAAAACAAGAGAATTCTCACAGTTAATGATCTAATTGATATTTGACCAACATTCAATGAGATATCATTTCTTGATTCTTGGGAAATTGAGGCTGAGATTAAAAATCTTGCTTATAGTCATAAAAATCAAAATTCAAAAATAATTTCCTGGCTTCTAGTACATTACCGTCAACTACAACAATTTTTATTTGCTCCCCTAAATTCTCTCAACTCCTTTTCAATCATTTATATATTATGCAAGCAGAAGTCTGATCATGGAATCAAACACATGGATTCATCTTTAAGTATATGGTTTCAAAATAAGAAATGCCAGTAATCTGGTAAATTGTTCCATTCAGAAAAGAAACAAAAGATGTTCTAAGACTAGAAGCAAATATCCCTGATTATAGTAAAATCAATTCTTAGAGATAAAGGAATCTCCTATCAGTATACAAAAATAGAAATCCAACCTAAATTTCTACTGTAAAGACTTAAAGATTATAACATTAAGTTCTTCCTAATAACAAAGTTTTGAAAAGGGCATGAGACTGGGAAAGTGAAGACAGAAAATTCTTTAATTTGGGAGATATATCTGACTGTTCACTCTTTAAGACATAGATTATAATCAACTTACTATTCAAATTTATATTGGCTGGTCCACTTGTTTTTGGGATGGTGTGAGGGGGGGATGGGTTGGTGAAGGTATATTATTTTTCAAAAACAGACACTGGATCTTTTCCATGCCTAACGGGTGATGAATCAGCTACATGACAAACTAGATACTAACCACTCCTCTGAGAAAAGTCGTCGGTTAGTACAAATGACTAAGACAGGTCTCCTCCTAACCTCTGGGCAAAGCCCGCTCTTTTAACTCAAAAGGAATCTCAATGTTTTGTTCTTCAATTTTGGCGAAACAACAGCATTATCAGGACATGAAAAGCTGAGTTGATTTTAAAGAACCAGGATTCTATTTCACTTTTAAAATTCAATGGATAAAGACTTGGGAACATGCATCTACCTTTAGAACAAACATTACTGAGTTTTAAATGATATGACTTGATTTTCATTAAATGTAATAGGTATATTTTGCATAGTTTTGGTTTAGTTCAACTATTAAATCATATTTTTATAACATTCTAGAATATGAAACTGGAGTAATTAATTAAGGGAGTGATTCCCAAGTGTTGCCCAGGATGCCTGGGACCCCACAGTGATTCTTGGCCAACTGGGCTGGCAGTTCAGCTAAGAGTCTAACGATGTGATGCTACACTAGCCCTTTATTTACATCCAGGTAATAAAAAGGACTCCTGGGGCACCCCAGCAGTGCTTGAGCACCCTAGTGAAAATCATGTGGGCGACAAGGGGTCTGTGCAGAGGCACAGCACAAGACTACGGGGTCAACTATAGGGGACAGTGGTCATAAGAAGGGAACAAGGTTGAAAGGGGTAACTGTCAGGAAAAGGTCAAAAAACAATGCCTTAGACTAAATGCTATATTCTGACCACATCATTCTTAAGCAATCAATATCAAAGTCAAAATAAGCAACTTACCTTTCGTCCTTGTTTTGTCGGATGCATCCTTCAATAATTTCCTTTACTTCGGGAATTGCTACTTTGTCAAAACTGGCTGGTTTCACTCCCTGAAAACCATAAAAATGTGAAACTCGTTAATGTAGGCAGAGTCTTACTTTTGGATTTTTAAAAAACTCTTACGGTTCTACTTAGGTCGTCTTCTTGCTATGCTCACTTTTTTCTGATGCGCCTGCAGGAGCTGGTCCATGCAGGTTCACAGCTGGGTAGTAGCAATTTAGCATCCACAAGAAATCAACAAGAACAGTTTAACAGTGGGGAGTCACTCACTTTCATGGCCTTTATATGGGATTAGGGAATTTTTTAAGCTGTTGCCAGCATCTTCTGCTGTGTTTAGGGTAAAGTTATTGGCTAAAAAGAAGGCCAAACTTTTAATTGGTTAGACAACCCTTAGTTCAGCCTTGTTTCCTAACTGAATCAACACAGCATTAAACTATTCTGGACAGTGAACCCATGTGTGGGCATGAATTCACATGTTCAGTTTGGAAGGTATTATATTATTACTATACTCCAACAAAACTCAACAAGTTTAGGAGAAGTGAAGGATCTTAACTGGCTTGGCATGACAACTGAAGAGTAAATTGTCTTGTACATATGAAACATGAGAAGAAAAATGATAAAGTAGATCGACATGAAGACAGACTTTCTAATAATAATAATAATAATAATAACAGGATTATTGCAAGTAGTACCAAATAACACAGAACAATTTTAGGATCTTCAGAGGATGTGAATTCTTTACAAATAAAACTTTCAGCCATCAGTGGTAAATATATACCAGATTAGCAAAACTCAACTATGAGATATGGAGACAAACAACTATCTATTTTTACTCATCTTTTGGTGGTGGGAGGGATGGGGATGAGAACTCCTGGCTGTGCTCAGGCCCTACAACAGCTCTGGGATCACTTCTTTTTCTAAAAAATTTTTTAAATTTATTTTTTAATGAATCGCCGTGAGGGACAGTTACATACTTATAAACTTTTGTGCTTGCATTTCAGTCATACAATGATTGAGTACCCATCCCTCCAACAGTGTGCCCGCTGTCTACCACCAAAGTTCCCAGTATCCCTCCCAACTCTCACTATCTCCCCCCGCCCCTCACCTCTGTAGCAGCGGGATTCCCTTTTACTCTCTCTCTCCTTTAGGGTGCTGTGGTCTGTAATGCAAGTACTGAATGGCCATCATGTTCGATTTATAGTCTACTTTTGGCACACATCTCCCACCCCGAGCGGGCCCTTCTGGGATCAGTTCTGACTGGCTTGAGGCATCACATGTGCTACTGGGGATCCAACCTAGGTAAGCTGTGTGCAAGACAAGCAGCATACCAGTGTACTGTATCTCTCCAGTCCCTCCCAGCCTCCTCAAAGTAATCATATGGATTGAAATGAAGTGAGGATACTGATAAATTATGAAGTATAGTAAAACCAGTAATTGTGCATCATTATCAGCACCTTGTATTTACTTAGTCATTCTTTGTCAATTGACAGTTGATTAGGATAAGAAAAGCTTATGCTAAGGGACAGGGAAATAGTACAAAGGTCACTGTGCATGCAAGGTATGTGGCTTGTTCTCTTAATATATGTTCCCCGATCATCACTGGGTATGCCTCTAAAGGCCCCTCAGTACCACAGAGCTGAGCAGCACAAAATCCTTTGGCCCAGGCACTGACGAGTCCATCTGGCCAAGAATCTATGGGAGAGGCCTCTTGGCTGGGTTCCCCATCCCAGTCCACCTACCCAAACCACCCCCCCCCCCCGCCAAAAAAAAGAAAAAAAAAAAGAAAAACACCAACTATATACATATTCAGATGACACTGCTGCCTTAGAATATATATTAAAGTATCAAAATAGGCAATGAAACCATAAGAAACATGTCTGTCTGGCAGCAGGTATTAAAAAGTTCAAGGCTGTTTTTTACTGTAATCCACTTAGTTGATAAAAAGTAGAAAAACTGATTAGTCGGTACCATCTAGAAGTCAAGAAAACAGAAAAATTATCAAGACTTATCAAAATACCTAGCAGAGGTTTTCTCACTCACTTGAGAAGCAAAGATCAATAAATGCACAAATAACTACCAAAATAGAAATATACACATTTTTTCAATGACCCAAAACTGTGAAAGTGAAAATAAAACTTCACTGACCTTGAAATCACATAAAGAAAAGTCATTTGGAACATAAAATAGAAAACTGCATCTGAAAAACAACAGCCCTTTTCCTCCCATCTGAAGATATGCACCAAAGTGTCAATCTAAACCAGGAAAGTTGCGACCAACTAATTCAACAGAAACAAAGACTCATCAATGCTCTTCACCATGGGAAGGCAACAGTACCCATAACAGAAATTAAGAAAAAACCTGCTAATAACATCATCTGGGTATTGGATTTGAATTGTGTTTGGATTTAGAACCCATCCTGGTGGTGGCAAGGTAAGCAGCTTGGCTTTGCCGTAACTTATGATCCCTTGGATTGTGTAAGAAAAATGAACCTAACCAAATGCGGACTGGCAAGACACAGCCTGTATGAGAAAAAAGACCTAAAGAAAACAGAGCAAGGAACATGAAACAGAATGAAGTCAGGGGGACTACAAAAGCCAATGATTATGATTATGCCGGCAAAGAGAAGTAGATTCTGCAGTGGCTGTTGTGGTGATTTTTTTTTTTTTTGCTTTTTGGGTCACACCCGGCGATGCACAGGGGTTACTCGTGGCTCTTTACTCAGGAATTACTCCTGGTGGTGCTCGGGGGACCAAATAGGATGCTGGGAATCGAACCCAGATCGGCCACATGCAAGGCCAATGCCCTACCCGCTGTGCTATCACTCCAGCCCCGAACCTGTTCTATTCTTTACTCCTTGATTTAGTCCCATCCAGTCCCATTTTCAGTCCTGTTTTGATCAGTTAAAAAGCAAAGTTTTCCTTACCTATTATATATGTGCTCAACAAATGACAGTACAAAGGTTCACTCAGTTTCTTTGGTTTTAAAAATATTCTTTCTTTTGTGATAAACAGAAACCTAAGTCGTTACTATTATTTTTTTACTAATACAAAACAATAGTGTTTTTAAGCAAATGTATTTAATTTGTTTGCACAGCGGGTAGGGTGTTTGCCTTGCATGCGACCCCCCCCCCGCCTGCCCCCCCTCCTCGCCAACCCGGGTTCAATTCCTCCGCCCCTCTCAGAGAGTCCGGCAAGCCACGCAGAGTATCTCGCCCGCATGGCAAAGCCTGACAAGCTGCCCATGATGTATTCGATATGCCAAAACAAATGGAGACGTTACTAGGCCCACTCGAGCAAATCCATGAACAACGGGAGGACAGTGACAGTATTTTAAACAAATGTTTTTCCACTTATTATTTTGGAGCCACACTGTGCTCAGGGATCACTCTTGGTGGGGATCAGGGGACCAGACGGGGTGCTGGTGATCAAACGTGGGCTGGCCACATGCCTGGCAAGGGCACGTACACCCACACTCTCCTATCATTCTAGCCCTGTGAATGTTATTTCTTGAACAACTAATGCATACCCATTTATGATACCTTTGAGGTTACATAGAGGTATTCTTTTAAACAAAACACCAAGGTTACTTCTGGGCAACCTTAAGTGGAAAACAAAAATCAACTGTGTGACAGAGCTGGAGACAAAGTACGGGGCATGATCCCTGTGTGCACAGCCAGGAATATGCCCTGAGCATTGCTGGGTGTGACACTAAAACCAAAAATTGTGACTCCCCAAGGGCACATAAGGGTAAATCAGAGTAAATATGAATGTTGGTGAAACACTACTTTATTTAACTATGAGAAACAAAAAACGCATGCATGTCATGGACTGAGTTTTCTCTCTTTTTTCTTATTTTAGGTTTGGAGTCACACCCAGCAGGGTTTATTTCTGGTTCTGTGCTCAGGGGTCATTCCTGGCAATACTTAGGGGACCACAGACAGTGCCAGGGAGCGAACCAAGGTCAACGGCATAAAAGGCAATCGCCTTACCCCTACACTATCTCTCTGATCCTAGACACGTTTTTCTTTAAACTGGTTTAACAACTAATCTACTTAAAAAGTAGAAGCCATAACACAATATTCTCTGGTTTAAATCTTCCAACTCTTGAAAAGCTCTCAACACATGTTTCTTAAAAGCTTTTCAATTAGGGGAACATTTAGCTACCCTTTCATAAACCTTATCTATAAACAACTCTCTCAAAGCTGTTCAAACTGAGAAAAGAATCCCTTCCCCTCAAACAAAACTTAATGTGAATTCTAAAAATTTAAATATTTTTAAAGGAACTTAGAGGAAACAGTTTTAATACCTTCATACACATATCACCAAAATAATTACCGTGTACCATTCGTATCTACTAGAAATTCTTACCCACCTCACTTACATAATCCTTCTGAGGGCAGCAGCAGCAATGAGAATTTACGATGACAAGCACTGAGCAAAAATCTTTCTTAGCAAAATCCATCAGAAAAAGCAAAATAGACCTTACAGTCACAAAAAAAAAAAAGACGAGAGAAAATAGATATGATGCAAATTAACAGACTAAATTAGCCTACAGCATAAGAAAGGCAGGCATCAAAGTCAGATGGCAGTATGGCTTCTTTAACGGCAGCCATACCTCCCCCCAGACTCTCAACTTTGAGTGTGTTTGCTGTGCTCAGCTAACAATCTTCTTATTCTAGGTCTACTCTTTAAACAAAACTACATGCTAAAGATCTGAGAAACTGGTCTGTCACGACTACCTATTTCTCCTCCAATAGCAACAGATCCCCTGAGAAGCAAAATGGGTTTTTCAACTTGTTTAAAAGCTCCACCCACCCATTATGCCTAATCGACATCAAAAGCCTATACTAAAAATCTACCTAGTTAAACATTCCCTTTCCTCCAGTCATGTTAAAACTATTCTTTTAAAAGAAAGAGAGATTGAGTGGAATGACCAAAATATACACTCAGAAGATGCAGTCAAAAGAAATCTGGACAAAGAAATTACAACACTGTTTAGCATTTTTATATGCCAAATCTGTATGACTTGGTCATATTTTTAAAATTTACTT